CATTTCCTAAGTTAGATAGGTTAAAGGGAAGGTAAAAGTGTCCTTGAGTCAAAACCACAGACTCCTGAGGCATTTTCTCTTCCAAGAGCAAGAAGCCTTTTATGCAAACATTTGTGAAGTTTTGGATGGCCTCTCAAGATCAGTTATTATAATGCCCAGCTATTGTTATGTTTATCTTGGAGAGAGAGGAGCGGAGAAAAGTCAGTGGCCAGAGCCAGGCAGCTCTTCCAAGAGCAAGCATACCCTGTGGGATGAGAGGTCCCCTGGCAATGCAGTCCTTCTGGATCCCAACCTCTACAGGTACGGGTCTGGATTTCACATTGGCATGGCATGATGATCACTCTTGTGTCAGGAGGTAGAATGCAAGACCCGGATGTCTGGCTTGGTCTCTGTTGTCACCAAGGAGGGGAAACTGTCCCCAGTAGGGGACAAATAGCATTCGCTATGGCTCTATCTATGGCTGCAGACAGTCTAATCTCATGGTCTCTCTGCTAACACTCGATGGCTAGTAACTGTTTCCTTTCATCTCACAAAAGTCTCTGTCATTTGATCTGATGCCATGCTCAAAGAATGCCAAAACCCAGCTTTGGAGGTCTGAGTACACAGACATCTCTCCCATGGGGCAGTGGCAGTGCTCTGTAACACGAGCCAGCCTTGCACCTTCTGCTGTAGCCATGAACCTATTCCTCCACCACTAACAACAAACTTTGGCAACTGTCTTGCCAATCCCCTTGCCACATGGCATCCTTGTCATGCGCCAGAACAAGGCAGGTGAGAAATACAAATCTGGTGATGCACAAGAACATGAAAGCATGATAGAATGACAGGAAATGGCCTCAAATTGCACCAGGGGAGGTTTAAACTGGATATGAGGAAAAATTTCTTCACTGAAAGGGGTATCAGGCATTGAAACAGGCTGCCCAGGGAAGTGGTGGAGTCACCATCCCTGGAAGTATTTAAAAGATGTGTAGATGAGGCTAGAGACATGGTTTACTAGTGAACAGGTTATGGTTGGACTCGATGATCTTAAAGGTCTTTTCCAAACAAATTCTTCTGTAATTCAATGATTCTAAGATGCCTGCATCCGTCAGCTCCCTCTGTCCTGTCCCAGCGGGAGAAAGAGGGAGCTGGAGACCAGATCCTGCCTGGGTTTTAACTTCAGCAGGGCTAAGCAGCTAATAATTACTCCAGATGAATACCTTTGGAGGAGAGCCAGAGAATCCCAAATCATTCTCCGATTTCAACTTTCAATTTACCCAGCCAGTGCTAAGCTCATTAATCATACTTGCAGCACCAAACACAACAGAAATTAGTCCCTGATCTTCTCCCCTCTTATTTCATGACATGAGGAGTTGGGGGCAAGAGGAAGAGAAAAGAGATGGAGAGGTGCCACCCACGAATCTAACAGTCACTCAGAGGGGCTGGGATTAATAAATCAAAAATCCATTATTAATATTACAAGCTTAAATATCTATCTAAATGCAAATGAATGAACACTCAGGGGTTCTTCCTCTTTTTTTTTTCTTTCTTTTTTTTTTTTAAGTGCTCTGTTCAACAACTCTGTCTTGGAGGAAGCACACACCCACATGATAATTGTCTGTCTAATTGCAATTTTATGGTTCAACCCTTCACGGCCCATTGACTTTAAGTGGCCTTTAAAGGGCTTCAACATGTTTTGGATGGGATTGAAAGCTCAAGTGGCTGCAGTAGCAGGCCGGAGCTCCCATGTGAGGATTGCTTCCAGTTTCCTGCCTCTGTACCTGTTCAGTCACATCAACTGCAAGGGGTTAAATCCAGAGGCTGGTTCACTGAGATCAGGTGGAGCTTGGATCCCCAAGATCTACAGCCTCAAATGGGTGACTGTGAACATAGGGAAGGTCCCTCTGGCCAACCAGCCTTGGAGCAGGAGCATGGAGAGCCTGCAAAAGAGCAAGCTTAAGAGACAACAGTGTCTTCTGAGAAAGCAACACCAGGCTGGCTTGAGCTGTACAGTGAATATCACAGGCGGAATAACAGACAGAGAATTAAAGCTGTAAAGCCATTAGATAAGTCAGAGCTGGGAAATAGAATTTCCTGAGATTCACTCACTTGTGCAACCCTCTTATGAGCCTGATCAATGGGAAAAACTCCAATTTAAAAAGAGAGGTGTCAGGAAGGAGAAGGTGGGAGCAAAAAGAGGAACCCACATAAATGTGGCTGAACCTGGTTCAGATCTCTACCAGTCATGATCTCTACCATGTACCAGGGAACAAATGGGTCCAGGGTGTAACCTAAAAATCCTTGCTCCAAGCAGGAAACAGTTATCCAAAATAGTGATGCAGACTCCTTGACACTTCCAGCATCCAGTGCTGTTCAAGCTTGAGGTGAGCACTCAGGCCTGGGGAATAGGGTCTGTGGAGTTTGCCTTTCATTTGACTTTCCCAGGAGGCAGCAGTGGTAGCAAATCAGCTTTAAAATGTTGTGCAAACAGCTCTGCAGCTCCTGTTGCCAGAGCTCACTGGATCAGACCTAGTTTTGGAATATTCCCTAGCAAAAAATCTGCTGACATCAGCATTTTGGACTTTTCAGCCACTTGAGATTGCAAATGATGGTTGAAAACGCGTGCAAGTGTGCACGCACACCCGTCAACATGCACAGAAAGCAAAGTCTTAACTTAACTTGTGCAACGAATCTGCTGGAGTTTTGAAAACCATCCCTGACAACTGAAGGACAGTGTCGGTGCCAAGAAATTGTCTGCTCAGCTCTGCTGCGAGCCCATCCTTTGATGCCATGGAGTTGCAAGGATTAAAGACTGAAAGCATTCCCAACACCGTTATGCTCTCAGAGAGACGACAAGCAGCCAAACAAGCTGCCAAGCCTTCGTAGAAGTATATCGAGCATGCAGACCTCCCAGGACAAGGCAGAGTGGACAATGCTGAACTGGGCACTGTTTTGTCTCCAGATCAGCAATGGTATTCAAGCCTCTCAAGCCACATTCAGCACTGGACAACCCTTCATTTTTCTCATACCAGGCACCTTTCAGTGCCAGCTCTGACAGATGTGTACCCAGCCTGAATGCCACCACTCTCCCTCAGATCCAACAACGTGCAAACTGGATTTTGCTGTTTTCTTGCTCAGACTACAGCCATAGAATCATAGAATGGTTTGGGTTTGAAGGGACCTTAAAGCTCATCCAGTCCAACCCCTGCCATGGGCAGGGACACCTCCCACCAGCCCAGGCTGCTCAAAGCCCCATCCAACCTGGCCTTGAACACTGCCAGGGAGGGGACATCCACAGCTTCTCTGGGCAACTAGTTAATTAAATCCAGGTCTTAGCATAGCAGAGAAACACCTCCATCCTTCTGGACATAATGCTCTCTCAAGGACATAGAAAGCCAAGAATAATGAGATGGTGTGCAGACCAGAAAGGGTATTGATTCCAACTTCTGCCTTTACTTGCCAAAAAATTGATTTGTATACAACTGCTTTAATCCTGTTCCAGCATAGAGAGACAACAGATTTAGCATAGCAGAATAATTTCTATCCAAGCCTTGTCCTAAGTCTGCCAACGTATAGACAACCATCTACTTTGGGCTCACTACAGACTTAGTAATATAATAAAATCCCATTTTAGTAATTTCATGAAGCTTCACCTCACACACACACACACAGGGGGCAGATCTTTTTCCTGCATCCCAACTGTCTTCTAGTGCCGGAGCAATTTTCACTACAATGCAGAAAGACCAGCTCTGCCCAGGGCTACAACATGGGTGTGATTTCACAAGCAGGGAGTCCTGCTGGGTTCTTCAGTTTTGCCTTGCATCCACTCACACATGCCAAATTAATCACAGACCAACAAGAATGGTAAGCTGGCTGTAAATATGTTGCCTGCCTATGTGTGTATATGCTACTTAATGGAGCATAAAAGGAGAAGAATAGAATCATTTTTCAGATTCTGCAGATAATAATAATAAATAATAATAATAAACGCAGAGGTGTGTGCCAAATGCGTGAGAACCCAAGGAGAGAAACTGTCTGTAAGCAGAAAAGAAGTCAGGTTGGCCCTCAGACCGACATAGGAAAGTCAGTGAAGTAAAAACACCACTAAATCAAAAACTTTGTATCCTTGTCAAGCTCACTTAGGATTTAAGACCACACTTTCAGAGTGTATTTAATTTTTTTTAAGGCACACACTCTCTGACAACTACTTCCCTACTGGGATTTATGGTTCTGACTCTTTGTGGTAACTTGGGACTTCTTTTCCCTGTTGACCACAGTCACGTCACTCAACACCTTCTGAACAACACTGGTCATTGCAGGAATCCTCATAGAAATAATGTTACTGTTTCACAGCTGCATAGCCCCTACTTTACCACTGCAGGCTGTATTTGTGACAGTGGGATCTGATCTTGCATTACTCTCCTCATGGTGAACAAGTTGGCCTGAGCACTGATGAGGGTCAAACGCTGCTGTGATGAGCTCAATTTAGGGCAGTCTGTGAATGACACCGCAATCCTGAGTCACAGTTCACATGTGCCTCACGCAGGGAAATCCAAAATTGGAAGAGGCAAAATTAGAGGGCACTTTTACAGAAATGCAAGCCAGGGTCTGAGGACATCAAAGGAAAATGCAAACATCCCTCCCTGTGAACAGAAGCACACATGAACATCCCTGCTCGGACACTGAGAGATGTTTCCCTGGTACAGATACATAATGCTCCTGGCACTTAGGGCCCTTCAGGGGTTATACTGACAACATCTAATTGCAGATCTTTAAATATAAGACCCAGTCTAACTGGTACTAAAAAAAAACAATGCAGAAAGAAGGGATGCATCTGCGTGAAGTAAGAAACACTCTCGACCAGGGAGAAAGACTTTGCCAGCTGTGAAGGTGGGTGCAAGAAAAAACTGAGTAGAGAGAGAGCAAAGGCTGAGACAGACAGACACATCACTGCTAAAATTGTGATGATTTCACCCCAAAAAACCAAATGGTCCCATGAGAGAAAAGAGAAACCATAGGACTCACCCATCAGTTTCGTCCCACAGGATGCAGGTCTGATTGGTGGTTCCCTGCCAGGAGAGAAGAAAGGGAAAAAAAATGAAACAAATCAATGTTGTGCTGTTTATTGGGCGTTTGGAGCAACTAGAATGAAATATTCAGGTCCTGTAGAGCAGTTTCCACTACATGGTGTATCTGTGATGCTTTAGATAGGCAGGGCAGATCTGAGTCTTTGCAATAGCTTTTTTCACCCTTGACTTGAAGAATAAGAATAAAATGGGTTTTGGTTTGTTCTGCATCAACACTACTGTAGAAGGATTTAAGTCTGCATCTTTCCTGACTCAACCTACTTCTACTTCTTCTCTTTTCCTCCTCTCACACAGAATCCTTTTGCTGCTCCCTTCTGGAAAGTGGATCAAATACAGCATGTGCTTTTGTGGGACATGGTACTCAGAAGAGCCACAGCCCTGCAGGAGGTGGTCAGGTGTGTTCAAAGCCCCCTGGAAGAGGTTTACCCCTGACTCCAGCTGCAGCTATCTTAGGCCACTTTGGAAAATCCTTCCAGAAAAGTCCAAAGCAGAGACATGACAGATCTAATATTCATGTTACAGAGCCTCAGGAGAATATCTGAAATCCACAAGAAGAACAGGCCTTGGGGTATGTAAATGTCCATCCCATATATCTGTTTAGGGTTGAGCAGGGAAACCTGGAAGGGAACTTCAACTGCATTTTAAAGCACTGATCACATCAGTAGTATTTGTGTCTCCAGTTGCATCTAAGGGCTCCAAAGAAGATTGCAAGTGTTAATGGAAACAACCTTTCCCCTCCCTCTTGCCCTCTTCAAGGAAGATCATCGTTATAGACCATTTTTAATGAGTGCACAGTCCTTCTCCAATGATCATGCCTCCAATAAAATGGTGTGAATTTTGGACAAATATGCCCATATTCCCTGTGCAATCCTCCTCCTTCATTGGCAGCCTGAGCAAGGAGCATGGAGCAGGTAAGATTTGCAAGGGTGATCCATACAGTGCATCCTTGGCAGTGAGCAACAACAGGACACCAACACCAGCCCAGTCTCAGGGTATCAGCTGAATGTCTTGGCAGTCTGCGTTAAGAGAGATTGAAGGGTCCTGCAATGGCAAAGATGTCTCAGGAGCCAACAAAACTGCCTCCTTCCCTGCACCAACACATCCCTGCCATGCAGAAGCCAACACAGCTGAGGGATGGTGCAGGTTCCCAAGAAAGACTTACATTGTGCAGGTGAGAGAATTCAATTTCCAAGGGGGTGAGGAGAGACCGGGGAAATGGCTTCACAGTCACAGAGATGACTCTGGAGTTCACAACAGTGCTGTTCCTGGGAAGAAAAGAGGAAAGAGATGTTTAAAGGGGATGGAGGGAGTTTTGAGAGCAGTGAATCTACTGCATTTGTCACTGGTGATACAAGGTTGAGTGTGGTCAGTGCAGAATGGGTTGGCCCCATTGCTTTAAAATACCATCACAGACACTTGGTGCTGATGGACCTCATCCTCTGCCCTTTGATCTCCCCTCACAGCCACTCTCCGTTTATTCCTCCAGGAATCAGATCTTTTTACCATTTTATGAACCACATAGACCTGTAAAGCCATAGGACTTGAAAGCTGTGTCTATCCCAGTAATAAAATGGTCCTGGACATATTTTATGGCCCTGACAGGAGGGGATACAGCTCATTTAATGTTCTCTCAAAAAGCCATTTTTTTCCTTCTTGAAGGCTGGCTTAATCTGCACTGCAGTAAGTGTTGGGTAGAGGCATGATGGCCTTTAACAGCATATCCATGGGGCAGCTTGTGATCCTGTCTAGTTTACTTCTACAGACACTGGTGCGTATCTCCATCCTCTGAGGAATAAAAGCAAATGGAAAGAGGCCAAACCTTTCATGCGGATGTCTAAAAGTTTGTGACCAGACAAATACACTAAAGCTGACAGCCCTAGGGGATTTGACTCTTGGGTGATACAGTAAGGGAGGAAATATCTCCCATACCTGTGCTTCTGCTCCCTGGAAAACCAAACCCTTTATAGACACTTCCCTGAATACTGGAGATCTAAATAGATTGAGGTTCCTGGAATTTCTGCAGCAGATGAAGTCTTGGGTGTTTAAATAAGCAAAAGTTTCAACCAGCAGTTGAAAATGTTGCCCCTCTAAGTTTACCATGAAGAAATCGGTAGTAGAGTGGTAGCTCAACATCAGGCTGCTCTGAGCCTTTCCTGCACCCATGGGTGAGGGAAATCTTTCCCCATCCAAATCTCCATCAATCTACCAGCATTGGCAAAATCTTTCACCTTTCTTTCTGGGTGTTATCTTCCTTCTAAAAAATAATTACATGGAAAAAATTTGCACTTGCTTAAAAGCAAGTGAGTTAAAAAATACTCCAAGATGAAACAAAAAAACCCCAGAATCATCCATTGATGTGTTAGTGGATGCTCAGAAAGCCAGTATTCCATTAACACCCGAGGGATCATAGAATCATAGAATGTATTGGGTTAGAAAGGTCCTTCAAAGATCATCTGGTACAACCCCCTGCAGTGAGCAGGGACATTGGTACCAGATCAGGTTGCTCACAGCCCCATCAATCCTGACTTGAATATCTCCAGGGATGGGGCCTGCACCACCTCTCTGGGCAGCCTGTGCCAGTGATCTACCACCCTCATATTGAAGAACTTTTTCCTATTATCCAACCTAAATCTTCCCTTTATTAGTTTAAAACCATTACCCTCGTCCTATCGCTATGTGCCCAGCTCTTCCTCAGCTTTCTTAATGGCACCTTTCAGATATTGGAAGGTCGCTATAAGGTTCCCCCAGAGCCTTCTCTTCTCCAGGCTGAACAGCCCCAACTTTCTCAACCTTTCTTCATAAGAGAGGTGCTCCAGCCCTCTGATAATCTTTGTGGCCCTCCTTTGGACCTGCTCCAGCACTTCGATGTCCTTTTGGTGTTGGAAACTCCAAAGCTGGACACAGCACTGCAGGTGAGGTCTCACCAGAGCAGAGCAGAGGGGCAGAATCACCTCTCTTGATCTGCTGGCCACACTTCTTTTGATGCAGCTCAGGATGTAGTTGGTCTTCCTGGCTGCAGATGCACACTGGTCACTCATGTTCAGCTTTTCATCTATTAGTACCCCCAACATCATTGTTTTAGCAGGTTAAAGAAAAAAACAGAACAAGTTTTTCTTAAATAAAAAAAAAGAAAAAAGAAAAAAGAAAAAAGAAAAAAGAAAAAAGAAAAAAGAAAAAAGAAAAAAGAAAAAAGAAAAAAAAAGAAAAAGAAAAAAGGGAAAAAAGGAATAAGCAAAAAAGCATAAATATCAGTCTACAAAGGAAGAGTAAAGGGGAAAGCCAAGGGGAGTAAATATCAACTCTAAGCTTTGAAAAGTAGGCAGCTGTAGATAAACTAAAAACGGGAGCTGCTGAAAGGTGCATCTCTTCATTTGTAGCTGAGTCTGAAAGGGTCAGTTCCTGGTTCAGTGCTATTGAATATTTGCATGAACAACAGAGATGACACAGAAACATCCTTTTGAAGGCTGTAGACCACATGAGGGTTGATGTTATAAGCAAAAGCAATAGAAATATTGGATTTTTCAGCAAGTTGTTAGCACAGAGAAGTTATTCTCATGCAGACTGAGAAGGCTGATTGGTGGCCAGCTAATCATAGCCCAACCAGAAGTTATCCCAGTGCATCCAAGAGCCAGGAAACACATCTGAAGCTTGGAAAGTGCAAGGTGTGCGTGCACAGCTAAAGGCTCTGCTTTGGGGACCAGTGACCCAAAATGTGCCTGAGGAGATTGACTTCTGTGCAAAGTGCTGTGACAAAAAGCACAGAGGTGGTCCTGTGCAGGAACAAGGAGATGAAGCAGTCATCTTCTCTATACATCTCCCACTGTACTGTGGTTTCAGTTCCATTTTGAGATGAGGAAATGGTGGAGGGAGTTCAAAGAAAAGAAACAAAATTGATCCATGTGCTAGAAAACAAAAGATTTCTGTTGAAAGGCATGTCTGAGAGTTTGTTGCATGTGGGGGATTTTTTAGTCTCACCCCCAAAGGCCCAGTGCCTGGAAACAAAAGTGAGACAAATTCACCCTTAAAATAAGAGAGTCTCCTAGCAGAGAAGGTAATTAAGCATCAGAGCAGCTTGCCCAAGGAGGTGAGGTACTCACCATCACAGGGGATCTTTCAGGAAGAAGATGAGTCGTCTTTCCTAAAACCATGTCACAACCCAGCTTCTGGGAACCAAATAACACATTAAGATCTGGCTTGGACAGGAGGTCAGACGAGTTCAGAGGGCTCCTGTGTGGCCATAAACAGTGTGCAAACAGCTGTAAACATGCTGTTTGGTACACAGGGCTGAGAGGTGCCAGGTTGTTGACTCTCTCAACTGCTGCACGCATCCTCTGCAACAGTGCCCCGCTGGGACCAAGTGCCCTCCACTTCCCTGGCTTGAAAAATCAGGTTTTGTGTGTATCTCATCTCAGTCATTATATCTGCCAGGAACTACAGGGCCCTCTGCATCTGAGGAGACAGAGTAATGTGTGGCTCAAATGAGGAGTTGCTGCTTGGGGGAGGTAAATTTGGACCATCAGGAACAACTCAGTGCTGTTTGATGAGTTAAATCTATTTTTTATTTTTTTTTAATTTAGGGAAACCTCACTCTGCATTAAATCAATGTGGTCAGACCCAGGATCTAGGTCCTTATTACTTGTGTGTACCCAGGAATAGCTGCTCTCTTTTGTGGCCAGAAATATTTTTACCCCATAAGCAGATGCTATGCAGCTACACAGTTATTTAAAGACATTCTGCTTCTGCAGCGTCCATTTGCACAGTGGTGAAAAGCTGCTTGTCTGCTGCTGCTTCTTTTACCACTTTTTATTTCTTCCTTTGACTCTCCACAGGTGATTTAGGACTCTGGGTATTTTTAAAGAAGGACTATCCTTTAATTAAGGAAGATCTTAAATCAGATCTCCTGCGGGAATGCTGTTCAGCGGCTCTGGCTGCCACAGCTGCTGGTTATCAGAGCTCATTCTCTACTTGGACAGAGAAAGCCGAAATGCCACTGGATTATTTGAGCCAATGATGTTTATTGCCCTTCTGATCTAATTCCCAGCACTGTAATGGAAGATATTACAGAATACAGTTGGCTGGCTTGCTAATTCCTCTCTGCACTCACTTGGAGCTCTTTTGCCATTGCCAGTGCTAAATCTGTAGGTATTTAAATGATTATCGGTGAGGAGAGATGCCCTGGTGTTTATGGTAAATGGGCTCACGCTAATCAGTGCAGAACAGATTTAGAAGGTGCCTTAGGATGCGTAATTTACTGCCTCAGTACCAGCCTCAGAAAAAAAATAAATAGCAAGATAGCAAGAGAGAAAAGGAGAGGAGAGAAGAAAAAGAAAAGGAGTGCTGAACACAAAAGCTTCGATGCCTAAGGCGGTTTGCAGAGGCCGGGAACATGGTAGACATGTGCAGCCAGGCGTGCTGTGCTGCTTCTCTCCCTGAGCCTGTCTTCCGCCGTGCTGCTCTTGGAGGGCTCAGCGTGGCTGGCAGCTCCCCAGTAGCTTGGGAGAATCAGGACAGCTGAGCATCCCCCATCTGCCAAGACCCTTACAATCCCTCAGGATGAGGAGAGCAGCCTGAGGACCCATTCCTGGAGGGAAAAGGGAGGCAGTGGCAACAGCACTGTGGCTCCCATCATATCTGGGGTCCATGGTGCTGCACATGGAAGGAGAAAACCTTCCTGTCCCTCCAGCAAGCAATGTCTGTGATGGCCCCACCTGAACATGCAGCATCCATCTGTGGGGGTCAAAACATTTGCACTGCCAAGTCAAAGTCTGTCTTGTCGCATCCCGTGACCTTTGCTATTTCCCTAGAAGATCAGGCTGTGCAGCCAGAGGGATTGGCAGGAAAGCCTGGTGATTTCCCAGCTGCTCGCCCTTCCCAAGCAGCCCCTCTTACCTCTGGAGGGAGAGAATGTTGCCCACGTTCCGGTACAGCACGGTCCCCACCACAAAGACAGAGGAGTCATCCGTTGCTGCAGGACACCAAATTAAAGGGAAGAAGAAAACAGCACTGAGACAATCAGGATGTCGACTGTCTTCATGGGACACCCAGGGGCAGGATTAGACCCCACATGGAAAGGGCTCTGTTGGGGCATGGCCAAGGCCAGCATCACTATGGTGGGATGCAGTGCCTGCTTTCACCACGATGGGTCTCCATCAGTCTCAAGGAAGGGCAGCTCCTCTGAGGTGACCCAGTACCCCAGGCTTTTGCCCTCATGCAAGGCTCACTCATCCTGAATGACCAGCCTGGCGCTCTCCCATTCAGAAATCCTGCTATTCCCTCTGACAGCACCACAGCAGGCAAATCTGAAGGGTGGAAAGGTCTCTTGCAGCCACCCAGAGGCATTTGGACCCATCCGTAACTATCAAGCCATCAGAGAGAAGAGCAGCGCTCGGGCCGACAAGGGCAGCCGAGAATGGGAAATGTCCCAGTGCGCCTGGTCTGACCCCACAACTCGTGCACTGCCTCGGGAGGCCACGGGGGCCATGGACCCAGATGAGCCTCTGAATCATCTGTGTGACTCCTGGGCATGTCACTTGACCTCCTCCTCCTCTGCTTTGTAGTTCCCAGCTGCAAAAAAGCAAGAACTGCCCTGGATACGCAACAAAGGCAGCCCTGCAGCTGAATTTTTGGAGGGAGAAAAAGCAAATGGTTGGGTGAAAAAGAAGAGTTGGGCAAGCACCCTGGCATGAGACTTATCTGATATCTCCTACCAAGACTGAACTTACAGTGCACCCACTCCATCAGACCAGGGCAGATACAACTCTGCATGCCAGTCTTCTTCTTTGACAAACTTGGCTCGAATGAGATTCACTCACCAGCAGTATTTGCACAGCCCTTAGCCCCAAAGGCAAGTCACCCAAGTATATAAATTAGTGCTGGCCCACTGAAATCAACTATGCAGAGTCACCACCCAGCAGTGAGGGGGGTGGATTTTTTTGTCTTGCTAAGGTGCCCATTTCCATCACTTTGCTCGGGATAGCTGCCCCTATTCTCCGCTGCTAAGGAAAGGTGAGGACCAAAACTAATGAAGGTGCATCTCCACTGTTAATCACTGAGTAAACCCTCAAAAAGATACTATCAGCATGGGATGCTGAGCAAGGCAGGGGCAATTCAGCTCTGGGTGGAACAGGACACCCCAGAGAGGTGAGGACCAATGGGAAATTAATTCTCTGGAGCAGACATCACCACAGTGACTACTGCTTGGGGCCCTATAGCAGCTCTGTGTGAGGGTGCTTGTAATAAAAATCTGGAAAACAGCCCCCTGGGGAAGCAGATGAGGTCTCTTAGGATAGCCCTCATCCCCAAAGCAGGATCAGCTTTGATGTGTGGTGCTAGCAATTTGTCCAAAAAGTGATTAAAGGTTTCCAAGGGTGAAGCCTCCACAACTTCCTCAAACAAGCTGTAATAACCTTCCCAACATGCTCTAGCTTCTCTGATGAAGATAAAGCTGTCTTCAAGGCACAACAAAACACAAGAAGTGCTGGGTGTGATCCTTGGTCTGCCAGTGATTTGCTGTTTACCCTTGAGGATGTCACTTAACTGTTCTTGGCCTCAGATTCCCTAGCAATGATGGCTACGTTGTTTCCATCCCCAGTAGGGAAGCCCCTGACAAGAGGTCCTGGTATGACAAGAAGAGGCCAAAGGTCTTCTGACAGCAGCAACTCACAGTCTCCAGCCTCTGTCCCAGGGAAGTACAGCACAGCCTGATGCAGCAGCCAGCAGCTTGCTCTCTCAAAGCCACTAGTGTCACACACAGCATGAGGGCATCCACAAGGAGAACCCACTGTCCCAGCAACAGGCCCAGCCTAAGATCCTGCTTTTGAAAACCCAGGGCTCAATCCTGCTAAATGCTAAAGCTGTCTATGAGAAGATGAGCACCTTATGCACGTTGGTTCCTGGGGTTCTCATCCAGGTAAAGGCTGGATGTTCCACCAGAGCATCCCAGTACCCTTCAGGTTTCCTTTCAGATCAGTCAGTGAGGCCAGCTTGGCTGATGCACCCAGCACTCCCACCTCCATAATGTGGCTCATATCTATGCTCTGCTGTGGAGTCAGTGACCTCAGTGATTAGTGTTTATGCATTTCTTTTCTGATGGCAGGAAATCTCACACAACTGCCACAAAACCACATTCTAGCAAAGTTTGTCCATGCAGCAGACCCAGACCCATTGCTCAGCCTAATGTTCTGATCCCTAGCTGCTTATGGCCCTATCAGGGCTGGATCCAGTCTGGAAGGGCATCTAGAGCATTATCTGTCTACATGACCATGGTAATAGCTGGCAGAACCATGCCCCTATTTGCATCTGCCTTTCTTGTCCTGGTTAACCATTCTTACATGATACCCACAGAGATAACCACCATTCAGTACCCCTAATGGCAACCCAGAGTATTCAAGGAAGCATGAGAGACACATTTCACCATCCAACATGGCCTGCAGAGGATTGCAGACTCAGTTCAGCACCCACATTCATCAATGACAGAGTGAGCCAGCAGCCACAGGGATGTTTCCATTTCTTCCCAGGTTCAGAAGCCTTGAAGAAGCAGTCATCAGTGCAGTGTTGCCCTGAGTTTTTGTACCAACTCCTGCTCTTTTCGAAATATGCTGCTTATTTAGGAGAAGATAGAAATCCGTATCCAGGAATTAGAACCAGCCCTGAACTTTTACAAGGAGTTTAGGTTTGATTCTTGGTCAGACCACATGTGAAAGCCATGAGCAAATCCAGCTGAACTGGAAGGAGAATTTGAAGACCAGCCAGGTGGAAGGAAGCTTTCTTAGAAAATGAAGAAGAAATGCTCTTCTGGAGTGCCCTGGCTGTACTGCCTACCTGTCAGCCCTGAAGACAGGATACTCTTGGAAACAGTGACCTTGTCCTCTGAATTCTTGGCCCAGTCCACCATGCCCCTCCAGCCTTTCATGGGGAAGGTGATGTCAGTTGCTGCATTATATGCCGAGGACTAGAGGGAAGCAAGAAATACAACCAGTAAGCAAAATTAGCCTCAATAAATTCACATGTGCTGAAAAACCTGTTGGAGGCAATAGTGGACCTATTAGATAGAAGAATGAGTGAGGCCGGATCATGATTGCTATGGGAGTGATGTTATCTTCAGGTAATGTCTATGCATGAAAGCAGGTGACGCTAACTGTTAGAGCTCATGTTTCTGTTCATTGAAAATGATCTGCCTGCTCTAAATCTGGCAGAAGAGAGATCAGTCTACTCCAGCGTCCTGTCTCCATGAGTGACCAGTAGCAGCTCCTTAGAGAAGAAGTGCGAGAAAGAATGGAGCAAGATATCTCTTGGTCTGTCCTCCCAGCATCCAGCAACCAGCAGGACTTCCTCAGCTAGTGTCCGTATCCAGACCATCGACTTTAACAGCCACCAATGGACCTTTCCTTTGTGTATTTTCCTGATCCCATCATGAACCCATCTGTACTTTTTGGCTTCTGTAGCATCATCTGGTAACAAGTTCCATGCTGTGATTGTGCATACAGCATAAATCAGATACTGCCTGCTGTTTGCTTGCTGCCCGATCACTTCATTGGCTGCTGTGCAGCTCTTGTGTAAAAAAAAAATTAAAAGAAAGCAACTAATTCTGCCCAGTTCATAATCTGTTCTCCATTCATGGTTCTATAGATATCTCTCATATCCCTCCATGGACATCTCTTCTTCATGCTGAAGTCCTAACTTATTTGGAGAAAAGCCACACCGTATTTATGATCATCCATATCTTTCCCCAGACCTTTTAATGTTCCACCACCTGCTGCTTTCTCTCCTACCCTCTTCACAGCCCAGGTTACACATGTTTCACAGTAATTACAGCTTCCTAGTGTCGCTACCCAACATAGGGCGTGCAAATCAACTCACCCAGATTGTCCGTCACTTGGTAGGAATCCCGGAAATCTTTCATGCGAAAGCCGATGACATCAATGAAATCCTCCACAAGCCTGAACAGCTCCTTGGCATTTGGCCCTATCTGCAGAGAGAGGGAGAGTACTTAGTAGCACAGATACTAAAGAGTGCAGCATGAGTTTCTCTGTGGGCAAAAGTTTCTGTCCTCACACATGAAATGGAAGCATATGCTGCATATGATGGAATATTATGGAGCTGTGGAGAATGAGGACTGAGAAATCCTGACAGGAATCCTAGAAAAATGAAAAGAAAGGGGCAAGAAACAATATGGCATTCAGATTGATATAACTTAGGTTCGAGGGCAGTATCTCAAAGGGAAATATCTGAGACTGTCTCGACCAGACAATAACCTACTCATCTCCTTTATAAAGGAGTTGTTTATAAATATGTAAAGGGTAAATGTCAGGAGGAAGGAGGCAGGCTCTTCTCAGTGATGTCCTATGATAGGAGAAGGGGCAATGTGTGCAAGATGGAGCATAGGAGGTTCCATGTAAACATAGGGAAAAACCTTTTCACAGTGAAGGTGACAGAGCCTTGGCCCAGGCTGCCCAGAGAGGTTGTGGAGTCTCCTTCTCTGCAGACATTCAAAACCCGCCTGGATGTGTTCCTGTGTGACCTGGTCTGGGTGATCCTGCTCTGGCACGAGTGTTGGACTGGATGAGCTTTTGAGGTCCCTTCTAACTCCTAACATTCTGTGAGTCTGTGATTTCCTTCCCTAGGATTACCTCTACTACCAACAACTCCATCTGGAGCAGGTAAGAAAATGCTTATGTTCATTATGGTCCTGTTCCTGCAGTTAATGGAAGAAGAGAAACACTCCAGGAGAGAGTCTTGGGAGTCATGATTTAATGTAGCTCTGTTTTCTTTCCAAGTCCATTGACTGGAGTATTTGGCTGAACCTAGCTGTCAACAAGCCAGAAGCAATTGCAATTGCACATCCAGCGACATCATGCCAGAGAGTGAAGAAGTGCTCATGTTGACACATTGAAGCTTTGCCCTTTGTCAAATTCTTTCCCAAGCTTTAGACTTCCCTGTCACTTGGCCTGACAAACATATCTGGGCTACTTCTGATGGTATATGTATGTTACCTAATGAGTGAGCCCACAAAAACACTGCCTCCACCAGAATAGTTGATTTTGCTATCATTCCACTGAAAGAAGCCACACCAAAGGACCTCCATGGTCTAATGTTGAATACCAGGCACCAGATCACATAATCCTATCCAGAAAAGCATCATGGTTTAGTTTTGTACTTTCCTGTTTTGCTAGCAAGATCTCACTCCCCAAATAACCAAGTCACTTCTTCTTAGGCCTGGGCTGCTTTGGAGTTTCTGTCTTTTTTTCCTTTCCTGGTGTTTCCCTGACTATAAAGATATTGGCAATAACTCTTTTTCACCTGTATTTTGCCAAGCTATCACAAGCCTGTTAAACAATAGTTTTCCAGTGACAGATTTCATAAAAGATAATCCACTTGAAATGAGCTGTGCTGACTACCTGTCTTTTCCTCAAAGCACATTTGCCTACAGAGGCTTAACAAGGACCACGAGAGGCTGAAGAAAAGCAATTCAGCTCCTTACATCTCTTCTTTTCCACCACTTTCACAGTGTTTTTGGTTCCTCACCATAATCCAGACCTCCTGAGGTGGCTGAACAAAGCTGAAGGGACAGTTGGGGACAGACAGGACAGCAGGATGGGACGGAGGCAGAAGGAAAGCTGAACTGTCAAGAGCACGTGCAAGGAGCACAGGGGTGGCCATGCGTGTCTCTTTCTCTGTCCATCCAAAGGAAGCTTGGTAAGACTAAATCTGTATCAGGATTAGATCAGAAAGTCCTGCCAGTACAGCAGGTGTACACATAAGGAGAAGTGAGTGAGGAAGCTATTTTTAACAGTATGCTTTTATATTCTATTACAGATTGAAATCACAAGGTCAAACTAACTCCAGGTTACACCAGCCATTGTCTTTCAGACTTTTATCATATAATGGCCAACACAATCTCCTCAGAAAACATGATAAACTTTCCCTGAATATTTTTTGGGGTCGTTTTGTTTTTTTATTTTCATTGAACAACATCTCTGTCTGGGAAGGCACAGTGCACTGGGATGTGAGACTGCTATGAGGTTGGGTTTACTTTTAATGAGCAAATTGGGAGATAAAGACCTTGTTTTAAAATAAGTGGTTGAACTTGCAAAACGTGGGGCATGAGTTTGTTCCAGCAGCTTTGAAGACGGACATAGTCTGCTGAAAACTCTATTTTCATCCAGTTCATAAAGATTTATGTGTCCTAAAGCTATAGAGTTGAGTTGTCATCTTGGTTTGCGCCAGGCAAATATTCTGCCCATGATGATCCCACTCCTTGTGTAGGTTACAGTGGTGCTGGCAGCAGGTTGGGCTGTATCTATCTATGGGTACAAATAGCAGATTGTACCACAAAAGCTAGTGGGAATAAATTGCCACAGAGTGCAAGCTGCAGCTGTTTTTAAGGGGATTAACAGGATTTCCCTGTTGTCATGACAACTTGACAGTCTCCTCTGCTCTATGTTGAAATATGTGCAAGCACCTGTAGGCTTGAAAATGAGTTTTTCATCACAGACTCAGATAATCACAGGATAGCTGAGTTTGGAAGAGACCTCAGAGGTCATCTAGTCCAACATGCCTTCTCAAGCAGGGCCACCTAAAGCCAGTTGCCCAAGACCATGTCCAGATGATCCTCTATCCCACCTGGAGGCAGACCATGCCATCCTTTTCCAAATGTAATGGGAAAATAACAGATCTTGGGGAGAAAAGAGGAGAAGGACTGATTCACAAGGCTGCTCAGCTCCTGGTGTTGTTCCTGTTGCATGAAGGAACTGTATTCAGATCTCTGTCTCACCTTCTGGACTGCCAACAGTTGTGCCAGCACCTGCTGCTAAGTGTTTTTCCCAGAGGTCTTCCCTGGTTGGTTTGACAATAACTGGACTTCGTAGTTGTTTTTTGTGTTGGGTGGTATTTTATTGATTGATTGTTATTTCCAGGCCTCTCTGATGAATTTTGCAGCACCAACAAGTGGTTAAAAAAGAGCTGCCATGTTCTGACCCATATCTCTGGGTACTTTCCACAGAATTTATCTCTAGCAAAGGCTGAATTATATGCCCAATCCAGGTTACATTGCAAGCTCAGCTGGTGTTTGTGTTCCAAAGTGCAATACTGAGGAATGGATGTGAAAGCAAAGGGCTTTATCATTGGTCCATCTGCCAGAGCTGCTAGTCTGAGGCATAACTGTTTCACTCTGATGCAATCCCCAAAGGCTGTAGTGAAATGAAAGCATCAAACAGTACAAGGGCTCACCAAAAGAATGGGAAAGGAACAAGGAAGAGGTATCATACAAGCCCAAACAGAAAGTTCAATTGGGGCAGAAGAGACAAGAGCCAAATAAGGCACAGACAGAAAAACAAACATCACCCTCCTCCAATACATAAGAGTTTAGCTATAGAATTATTCAGCAGGATCTCAAACCTGAAGAGGAGAGGAAAAAAGTGAAATATAACTGGACTGTTGCTCAGCTCATGCTGAGCAGAACCAGAAGCTCAGCTGAGCAAAGACCAGTTCTGAACTATGACAATCCTGCTTGTTCTGCATCTTTTTAGCCAGGAACTCAAAACCATGTAATCCCACTTCCTTGTCTTGGCAAGAGAAAAGGGTGGAATTACAACAAGTCAGCAGGGTTATCAACTCCAAACCAAGCTTGGCCTGTGAGAGCTATTCAAAATTTGGTATTCACCACCAGTTTTCCACTGCTCTTCATGCAGAGACTCTGGCTTAGAGCTGAGGTCCTGTGGTTCTCTGAGTTACACTATAAACATGACTCAGCCTGGTACTGCGCTCACCCACAAGGCCAGTTGCATGAATCAGCTGATTGGCAGTCAACTCTAAAGCTGACCACAGCTGACCATGTCTGGATTGCCTTCTGCTTTCGTTATAAGGATTTGTTGAAGGAGAACAACATTGGTGGATGGAGATATTCTGTGGTCTATGATTGAAATAGATACATATAGCACTCAACACATGGTGGGCAAGAAGAGCTAGGTCATCTAGGCACTTGGAAATTCCCCCTTTCATGGATTAAGGCTTTGCTGAAAGCCTGCTTTGTTTCAGGGAAGGTGCTGAAGGTTCATACCAGCTGAGCTTCCTCCCATTTGTCCCGGTTTTCCTCTGATAAAAGGTTGCTGATGATCTGGACAAAGTTCTGGAGAAAGGAGATAAAAGAGGAAAAAAGAGGTGGTTAGCCAAACGCAGCCCAGGCTAGGAAGGACGCATGAGGAAAATGTGAGAATCAGCCATGCTGCAAGAGGGTTCTCATCGTCCCATTCCCAAAAGATCCCACAGCATTTCACAGGCTTCTGCCCCCAAGGATTTTAATGGCAAAACAGGTCATAGTAAGGCTTTTTTCCCAAGGCCTTCACTTTGACTAATGTATCTGCTAAGGCATTGGACTGACAATATGTCTTATATCCATGACGCAAGGTTTTTAAGAACACATTAGGTAAATGTCTGACAGAAACTGGTTCAAAAGCAGATGCTCTTGCCTTGTATATATCCCTTCCTGTCCTATTTGCTACTATTTCTATTATTTATAGCATAGGGAGACATTATGATCCTCTTCAGTCTGTGACCAGGCAAGAGAAGCAGCGATTGATCAAGAGGGTGCTATGCATGGTTGTATAATTGCAGCCCACTATAGGAAGGAAGGACATAAGGTATTTCAAGACCATTGATTTTTTTTTCTCTAGTTTTACCACCCACTGCAGATCCTGCAGGATCAGTTTAATGTTTCAAGCCATGTGGTGCTGACCTATCCCAAGGGTGTATCTTGTAGCCACTCTGCATGCAACTGATGAAAGCAAAAGCCTGGGATGAGAAGCCATCAAGATATTCTCCCATGTTGATATCCAGGTAACAAATACCATAGGATCATCTTACCTCTCTTCATTAGTCTGAAATCCCTTCCAAATAATGTTCTCATATCAATCAGACTCCACAGTAAAGCGCTATCAGGTATAAATAGTTCAGAGTGAGTTTAGTTCTCAAGTTTTGATGTTATAAGCCAGGGAGAACCACCTCAAAAGGAGAGTTTGTTAATACACAAAGACACTTTGCTTGGGCAGAAAATGCTCAGGCTTTTCATCAGCACTGTATCAACTACAAAGGAGATAATCAAACCTTGAGCCCTGTGCACACACACACACCCCTATAACCTAGCCTTGATCTCCAGGATACGCATCTCAGCTCACCTGTACATCACCAGAAGTTGGGCTATGATAAGCCCTACGGAAGATCTCTGTCATGTTCCTGAGTACGTCGATGGTGGACAGCAAGTCCCCACTGTAGCTGGTCCCATCCTGGGAGATTTCCACAAGGTTTTGGAGCACTTCTGACAACCCATCTCCCATTAACCCACGCTGAGCTTTGGAAAGGTGTTCCCTGGTCTGAGAAACAGAAAGAAACATGACAAACACTTTAGTGACAGGCAAAGTCAAGTTAATGAGCTCAGTGAAGGAATTGCTGGGGGAAGGTTTTTGACCTTCCTTGTAATTCAGAGTGCAGATTAGATGAATCTGACAATCTTTGCTGGCCTGAGAGCCTGTGATATTTTTAAAACGGTCAGACAGTAGAAGATAAATTTCCTGTATGTCCACATAGGAAAGGTTGTGTGTAGGTTCAGAAGAGATTATTCTGAAACACAAACTCTGTTCTGCTTGTAACCCATGGCTAGCTAACAGAAGAATTTTGCCCCAAAACCCTTGTTTTCTTATAATCCATTTGGAACTATTTTAGGAGAGACTGTAGCTTGTCTTGAATAGGAGAGGGTGGTTTTCATAAGGGCAACAATTTTTTAAGGCAAGACACAAGATACCAACACAACATCACAACAGTGAATTTAAGACTAACAAATGATAAGTGGGTTATTTAAAAGTTATATGGTCACAGCAGTTCTTACTGATAATGTGATATGAAAGCCCTGATAGGACCTGGATTCTGCCAAGCTAGATATTAAAATACCCAGTGTGGAACCATCCCTTGTCTATGGAATGCCCATGCATCACAGGTTTAGCAGACAAAAACAGTAAGAGCTGACATCTTCCTTTCACATGAAAATGATACTTTCCTTCTTTTTTAAAACTATAGCAATGTTACAAGCATTTGGGGGGCTCCCAAACCTGCTGAGCTGAGAAGCTGGTCTGCCTTACCATCATCTGTATGTTCCTGTAATCAATAGAAACACACTTGATGTATGTTGGAGGATCCCAGTAAGCTATCCCTTCTTCATCTAAAATGCATCTTCGAAGGATCAGCCCTGGAAGAGGAAAGAAATAAAGGGAGAAGTGGTGACAGCAAGAGGAAAAGCCAACCACCTTGATGGAGTCCCCTCCCCTCAAAACTGGTCAATGCACAACAAAGGGCAGCAGGGGCATCTCCAGATGCCTGAACAACATGTACAAACATGTAGTAGAGATTATTTTATTTCCTACTGCATTTTCTTATTGAGAGGCAGGACAGCAAAAGGAACTGGGAATGAAAACAAAACCTAACATACTGGTCATGGCTAGTAAAGGTGAAAGAAGTTCTCTTCTGTGGAGATCAGCTTTCTTCCTGGGTCAGGAAGTCCCATGAGCCTCCCCAGGTGGTACGGTCTGGTACTTGCAACTAAACCAGCCAGAGTGTCTTGTGCTGCCTACACAGTCTCAAGAATAAATATCCCACAGCACCATCTTTGCATCAGCTGAAAAACTCTGAAAGCTGCTTGCAGTCCTCCCCCAGGCCTTTCCTTATCTTCAGTCTACAGTCAGTTTGCAGTGGTAAACACACGCCTTTGCGATGCAGAGGAACAGACATATCAGCGAGGAGGATGGGGAGAGGGATCACCTCACCCAAACAATTTTGCTGTCATTTGGAGAGACTTTGAGGAGCAGGCTCTGCTGGGTCCACAGTCTCATTGCTATGGATACAGCCCTTCCTGTGGGCTAGCATTTGGGATGACACTGACTGTCCCAGGATGTGTGAGCCAAAGAATGCTGCAGGGTTTGTCTGTATCTGACAACCCCACTCAAACAAAATAAAAACTTGCAGTTCATTACTGACACCTGCTTCTCCCATTTCTGTTCCTTCCTGGAAGTTAGGAACATCCATCTGAAGACAAGTTCCAGGTATCCTGGAGCCTTCTCTGCACTGCTTTCTACTTCTTGGGGAACATGTGGCCACAGTCACAACAGATAACACCTGGATGCCCAAATCCTATAACTTCAAGCCACCATGGTCAGCCCATCAATTTGAGCACCTGAAGATTATGTTTAGAGAGCTGTTATGGTGTCTAAAAAGGAGAGGAAAGCAACTGTGTGAGTGGACAATGCAACTGAGATTTCCTACTTTTAGTTATTAGCATCTTTTATAGGCAGTGGAGAGAAACATAATGTCCAAGTCTAGAGGACTCTAATAAAGCCCTACCTGATTCTGCAGAGCTCTTTGTAGATAATGAAGAAAACATACCACAGTAACCCTTACTTGCAAAGCTGTCCCAGGACTAGAGAGTAGGTGGATGGGAGACCTCCTCAGATTATCCGATATGAACCAAGAACTTGTTTTTTAAGAATGAAGGACCACAGAAACCCAGAGAGATTTCATTTAGTTCTGAGTGAAGGGAGGGAAGTTAATTTGGTTGTCCTGTCCTCCCACAACCAGATTCTCCTCATCTAGGAGACAAAGGATGAAGGATACTCTGAGGGTGGGCCAGCTCCCTGGCTGAGGCATGCAATGATCCTTACCAGTGGCATTGCGAGGACACCGGACAGCTGCAGCATCCCCAGCAGGCGTCTCTTTCCAAACCACAGACCCAAGGCTTTCCTCATCACAGATTTCGTGGGGCTCTGCAAGAAAAGAAAAACTCCACTGGTAAAGCCTCCTCTTCAGGAGAGACGTAGAAAAGGGAATGGAAAGATGAAACAGGGAAATGTGGTCTGGAGGTGTGGTGTGAGCTGGGAGGCCTGGAGATGAACTCCCAGCTCTGCAGATCCTTGGCCCGTGGCCCTTGACAAAGCCACTTAACCTCTCCAGAATTTGCTCTGCCTGTCTTGGAAACTGGGCTTCTGTCCATGCCAAGGATTAGCTCACTAATATGCATGTAACAACCTGGGAAAGTCCACCGACGCTCGCCTTGCCTTGTGACAGCTCTTTGCAAGAAAGCTGTTGTTGCTACACACTACTAAAGAGTTTTCTTCTCTTGTTTAATGGGCAGATGTCCACCCTTTGTGGGTGAACACCACGGCTCCAGACCCTACTCCTTCCATCCTTCAGGGTCACCACCTTCATGGTTGGATGTGTCTAAAATGAGGCTCAGCATAAATAAATTGGAGTAAGAATGAGGGAAAGAACAAGGAGATGGAAAAACCAAATGGCCATATTCCCTTGAGTAGACTTCATTCAAGCTTTCTGTCTGCTGCCATCTTATGAAATGACACAGGGAAAAGATCTGAGCACCAACAAGCTGGATTTGCATCAGCAGCTCATTTCCAGATGCGGCTGCAGAGTCCAGAAGACTGCAGAAATGTGTTTTGAGATGTCACAGGAGAAGTTATTTGGAAAGAGGTTTTCAGATGCTTCTCTCTGTGGGTGGAGCTGCTTTGGCCTCTGAGTCAGTGGGACTTGGGAAAAAACATTCACCTCAGGACAGCTTTGTGCCAAAAAACTCATTACTTGCAGCATGTAAAATGGAGGGAGCCATGAGGATGGTGTTAAAGCTATTTATCACTCCTGAGGGTGGAGAGGAGAAAAAAACTGATTTAATGGGTTTTGATTATAGCTTTTATTTATTGTGCATGTAAAACTAGAAATAAAAAGGAAGCTGAGTGCATGCCTGCAACTGGTCTGGAAAGGCAGCCACAAAGCCAAAGCCAAAGCCAACCAGCTGTGGAACCTGGCTGAGCTTCCTTCCCATGCAGGAAATCACTGCCCATACCAGGGTCCAGTGATACCCATAGACACATGCCAAGGTTGTAGCAAAAATGTTCATCTGTAATAAAAACAAGAGAAAGGCCTTGAGTTTTCATGTTGCTTCCAAGGGAACTGTGAGGCAGCAATGACTCTGAAGGTTTCCTTCTACAAGGGACTGTACAATGGATGTGCTTACACAAACCATTTCAGGACCTTTGTCACGATGCAAATGCCTGGGGATTGACATACCCCACTGCTGCTCTGGAACTACCCAGATCACCAGCCTGGCTGTGTGGAAGGCTCAAACCTAAGATTGTGGTCATGGCAAGTCCTGCTTCTTTGAAGGCCTCATACGTGACCCACCAACCTGCCTACACATCACCGCTCCTGAAATCAAGCTCCAAGGCTGTGTGGCTCCAGCCCCAGCTGCAGTTAAAAGACAGATTCCTCCCCAGTAGATACTGGTAATGAACAACTAACCCTCTCTGCTTGAAAATATAGGCTCCATGCCCTGTTTTAAAATTCCCTTTTGAGTAACCACTATTGTGAGGTAATCCTAGAGGGCAAGCAAGACCCCTGCTGTGCTCTGCACATATGCAGAACTAGTCCCTATGCCAACAGCTTATGACTTCTGTAGGTAAGGCAGAACACAGGTGGAAAAGAAGCAGTTTTATTTCCAATCTGTTAACACGGAGCTGTAGGAAAGCGAGATTAAGTCACTCAGTTGTGACTGAGTGGTCAGCCAGAGACCCTGTGGCAGAACGAGGAGCTGACTGCAAAACTCCTTCCTCCTGGACCAGTACTGTGGCCACGATCACAGATTCTCCACATCAAGCTGTGGTTCAGAGGAGGGTTTGTGACATGGAGAGGGAAACTTCTAGCACTCTGAGCTACAAAACAGCAGAGAACATTAAAAAGCAGAGGGAGAGTGTGTTCACATCTAATGTCCCTTTTCCTCCTTTGACCTGTCAGACCTTCCTGGTCTCATCACCCCTGCAGTCTCCCTGGGGACCGCTGAGGGATGCTGTGGATCAGGGATGCTCTTTAGAAATACACTGTCTGGTGTTGTCTTGCCAGTGAGTGCAGAAGCAATTCCCAGGCCAGGAGAGAATAATTTCATCCTCTTTTTTCTCTTCTTTTCTTTTTTCTTTTTGATGTTGCTTCGTAACAAAATCCTTTATACCAGAGTAACCTATTTGGACTGGGAGATTTTAATAACTAACCCAATTAAGCTCAATTCTTCTGTTCAAATCAAATCAAGCCGGCATGCGATACTTTCTCGAGAACAAATTGAGCAGGTTTATTTTTAGCCTCTGATGACTCCCCACCTTTTTCCTTCCCCTGCAAATTAACAACTGCAACAAGACCCTTCTGGTTTTGAACCTTAGCAGGGCTCAATCCCTGAGACATGCCTTTTCCTTTTGAGCACTGTGCAGGCATCAGCCCCTGCGGAAAGAGAATAAAAGATGGGGCTTGTTCTGCCAGAGCCCCAGCTGGCACACACTGAAGCTGAACTAAATCTGTGTTGCTCTGTAGACACCACCAGACAACCCAGTGTTAAGATTTTCTATGGCGAGGGAGAGCTTTGTGGCTGAGTTAGAAGAGACTCTCACACACCACTGCTAATTGAGAGGCACCGCTTGTAAGGAGAGGTGATGTCTTTTATTAGACGTAGCTGGAAAGAGTGACTATGCCGTCTCAGGCACAGAGCCTCTTTCTATGTTATCTTCGAGCTAAACAGGCTAAAACTTCTGTACTGAAGTGCTTTGGCTTTTATCTTTGTCTTCATCAATTTGCAAGGGACTCTCAGGGTCAGCTGTCCTCAACATGGCAGATCCACCTTCAGAAACATCTGCACCAAAAATACTACCTCTGCTTTGAGCTCCAGGCTGTTTTTTAGGGAGGCACCCCTTTTTTGCTAGGACAGCCAGGATGCTGCCATGAGTATCTCTCCTGTCTCTCACTGAGATGCTCTGACAATTAATTACCCTTCCGGTCAAAAATCAGGGCTTGTAACGATCAATGCAATCTGACTGCCAACATCACATAAGTCATTGATTCCCCATCAGCAATTTCACCAGGCATTTCAACTGAGACTGAGAAAGAAAATTAAAACGGTGCGCAGGCCTTTTTTTCTGGTCTTTTTATACTGTGTGATAGATGGACAGAAACATCCCCACTTGCAAGTATTTACTCCTGCTTATTTTTCACATTAAACCCCAGGTTTTCCCTCTCCTAGAGCTCACTTGCCCTCCATTCAGGCTTTTGTACTCTTTTTCTCAAATGGATGCTGCTTCCATGGCTGCAGCTGGAGGAGGATGAGATTGGGTAAGCCTCTGACAGATGTGGACACAACTGTCTTTTAAAAGAAAACTAGGTGGTGTGTAGGAGGCTAGATAAAGGGTGGGAAACCACTGTGATGTCCTCAGTATTCAACTACTTCATGGACTCAAGACTCTGAGATCAGTTTTTGCTACCAAATAGTGTGTTTTTTCCTCTTACAGCAATAAAATGAAGAACATTGAAGTCAGACTGGTGGGACTTAACAAAAATCCACTGAAATAAGCATGGTTACACTGGCTTGGGCAAGAATTAAATCAAGCTCTTGGCATGTCATGTACCTATGTTACAGGCAGGGTTCAGCTAGACCACAACTCCTTGTTCCATTCATCTCTTTCCAAGATCCCTGTCTCCTCCATGCAAAGGAAAGCATGACAGGTCTATGGTACATACCAGGACACTTTCTGTCGTTGCACTGCTTATACTCTTCCTTGGGACCTTGGCAAGTGTCTCCACCAAAGAAGGGCCCGTAGCACACACGGTCACGTCTCTGAGTCCCACCTCCACACGTGGCGGTGCAGCTTCCCCACACTCCCCAGGCTTGCCACTTCCCATCCACTGGAGACAAAAAAAGGAAAGAGAAACAACCTGTCATGTCCCAGACATAATCTGCAAGAGAAGGAGGCAAGGTGCCAAGGTGAGCAATGGAACATAGGGTGAGTAGACCATGACTTAGTGGAAAACGAGGTCTCCTGCCTCAGATCTTTGGTCCTCAACAGGCATTAAATCTGTGTAATGTCTTTCCCCTTGCAGCAGTCCATTAATAGTTGAAGGGTGTTCTTGTGTTTCTCCTCAGTATCCTCACCCCCTGCAAAACCAGCCTTATTCCCTCTTTCCTTAGGCTCAGATTTGGGGCTGTGCTCATGAGCCCTCTTCAGGTGGGCTGGGATTCAACCTGCATGGTAGTCACACCTGCCAGCCAAAGTCTATAGCTTGAGTTTGGTTGGGATGTACAGTGTATTTGTGAAAACAGATCTTCCCAGAGAGGGAGAACCATGAAGAAACATCAAATAGAACTCCTTCCAGACATTTCCATTGCACTGCTTTTTCATGTGTCTTGGTAAGAGGTTTGGGACGTTGTCTCATTCCATTGTGTCTTCTCCCAGCATCTTTACAGACTCAGTGGAAATGCGACTTCTTTTACGTTAATAATGGCATTTATAAAAATGCTACTTCTTTTACATTAACAATGGCATTTATCAAAACACTATAAAAATGTTAATTAGCCCTCACAAGAAGCCTGCAAGGTAGGGAAACATTCTCCTCTGCTGCATCACAGATGAGAAACAACAATTCAGTGACAGAATTAGAGCAAAGACCTAAATCTCCTGATTCCTATTTGGATTTTAATTAGCAGTTAACACGTCATCTTGGCTTGAATAACTGCTTTTAAAAGGGTGGGGGATCACTCTCTTCTTCTCCAAGAAGTAGAAGAAAATGATCATAAAGGGACAGCACCAATCTCTGATGCTTTCTTTGGTGACACTGTATGCCGTGGAAGTCATGACCATCATTGCTTTGATCACTAATTCTGAAATCAGTGGGACAAATTTGTCTAAAACAGAATGAGGCCCTTTTTGTCTTTGAAGTTCCCCATAAGTTGCAAAGAAGGAGTAAGAAACCTAAACACCAAAACCTACTAAAGGCCATGTAGGAAAGTCCAGTACTTGTGTTAAATACTGATTATCCCCTGCTACAGATGGTGATGCTATCAGAGAGGATAAGGATCCCCTGAGAAAATGGGTAAAACAGGCTGAAAAGCTATTGGCTTCTGTGCTTGTGCAGTTCAGAGGACTATACTTGCTCACCTGAGCAAGGTATGAGAAGTGCCTAAAAGATCCCTCTCCATCTCAGAGGTCCACTTCTTCTCAAACCTATGGACTAACAGGGATGGAGCACCCAGGGGAGGCAAGGAGTGGGGCAGGAGGAGCGTGACAAGGAAAATGAGTTGTTGATCAGTATTGAAGGTTTCTAGTTGTTCAAGCCTTCTTTCCCAGTCAGAATATTTTCCATACCAGCTGATCCAATTAGTCCTTTAGCACTGGCCTCCTCCAAGATGTCAGCAAAAAAAGGTACACTACTGCACATGCAACTCTATTGTGCTGATGACAGTCTGAGAAATGTAGACTTCTGGTGATAAATATGCTCTGGTATCTGCTTCAATTTTCTCTGCTTCTCCTGCATGAAATGGCTTTCCTGGAGCTCATGGTCCATGGTATAAGGACAAGGTGATTATTCTGAAGGTAAGGTACTGGCTACAGCATCGAGGCAGCAGAAATTATTACAATTATTTGTATTGTTATTACTCTTATTACTGTCATCGTTATTATTTTAAAACACAGCTAAATGATTAAAATAAGTGACAAGTCTCTGATAGGCAAGAATCAGGGATTCATTGTGCCAGACCTTGTCCTAGATGAGGTACAAAGCTGTGATACAATGATGGTTCCTTGTGGAACCACTAGGAGTGGTAAACCAGTAGGAGAAGAGGAAAAAAAGAAAACAAGGAGGAAAAACAGAATTATAGTGGAGGCATGGAAAGGGTTTAATTGATACTTTGTTCATTTTTTAAAACAAATGCTGAAAACTGGTATCTCAGGTTAAAAAGACATGTTCCCTGTGAGAAATCACTCATCTCTCTGGGGTCTCCTGGAGCTTTTGCCAGCTATGGATTTAGGCTTGCATGGTCCACTGGTATCATTCACAACTTCCTTATTACTGTATTACTGATAAAAACTGTGCAAATCTTCCACAAAGGAAATAGGAGGAGATTTTACAAAAGCCTGCCTGGGACTGCAGAGTAGGATAATTCAATAAAAATAAAGAAGTCATTTGTAACTGACCTGGACATTGGCGTAGGAAGCAGTCCCTGGTCTCCACCCAATGTCCCTGGCATTCAGCTCCCCCGTAGGATGGTCCATTGCACTCCCTTGTCCGCTGCTGGGTGCCGTTGGAGCAGGAGGCAGAACATGAGCTCCAGCTCGACCACTCATTCCAGTTGCCGTCCACTGAGTGGCCCAAAGAAAGAAAACAAAACCGAATGTGAAAATCGCTCCCACTGGGAGCAGGCATGGGCAATTGTCTCCAGCCTTTGCCTACAAGGGACTGAGGTAGAGGAGGACAAACCAGAGTCACAGAGCACGAGAGAGGGCAAGGATCATCAAGAAGAAGTTCAGAAAACTGTGACAATGACAATTTGCCCAGCCTTTGCCTACAAGGGACTGAGGTAGAGAAGGACAAACCAGAGTCACAGAGCATGAGAGAGGGCAAGGATCACCAAGAAGAAGTTCAGAAAACTGTGGCAATGACAATTTGTTGGGATCCTCTGCAACATCTGACTGGTATGTTATGGCCTGGCAGGGTGCAAGTGCCATAACATTTCAATTTTTATGTCCATGCTCTACATAACACCATAAAAGTTGAAATTATTGATATTACACATTCCAATATGAAATTCAAAACTATTAATATTGTCAATTACAACATAACATCAAAAGAGAGAGCACAGATCATGGTTCCACTGAAAAAATTGAAGGAATCAATACATTACCGTGACACTTCCCATTCTGGGCAATCAGCACTTTTTGAGGGAACACATTTTTCACCGAAGTAATGAACTAATCTGCAAGCAGGAAACTTTCTCAAGCACCCAAACGCTCTGATTTTCATTAAAACACATGGAGAAACTCGAATGAGAATGTTATTCACAGGAATTCATGCTACCAGTCAGGAAATGCTCAGAGCAAAGGTGTTCTCCAATGGGAGGCCACAAGCAGAGTGTGCGTATGTGGTCAACTTATTTCTCTCACGGTTGAATTAGCACTGACAGGCTTGATATGTCCCTACACAGCAGTGTCTTTCATAATTAAATAGAGGAGTGATGGACAAGAGAGGTTGCGATAGGGATGGTTAGAGAGAAACATGAATGTATCTTACTCGCATGGTGCAGTATAAGGTATTCCCAAGTGTCGCACTTACATCCTAATTGGTCCCTGACAACAGATCCATCACCCAGGCTGCTATTCCTGGAGCACTTTTTTTCTCATTAGTAGCGGTCATCATGCTCTGTTTAGTTCTCACTAGCTGCTAGCTCTCACTCAGAAAAGCAACCTGAATCCTTGAGAAGTCTGAATTCTGGCTCAAATCACATTCCTATAGATTGCAGTTCATTTTCTTTGGCTTTGTTTGTCAGTCCAAGAAAAATATATGCAGCAGGGTGCACTGTGTAACCTGCAAGGACTCACACAGCCCCAAATAATTCCCATTGTAGTTATGCGGTTGAGCAGCTTTTTGTTTGCAAGCATGTGAAAAAATATCAAAAACATCCAAATGAGCAACTGTTAACTCAGAGGGGGTCACGTGAGCTCAGAAGGTGTGAAAAATCAGGCAGGCATAAAGGTACTTCCAAAAAGTGCTTGTTTTTAGCAAACCAGGCTTGATGTTTTCATCGTGCATAAATTCAAGGCATCATGTCAATGACTATCAATCCCAAGAAAGGGAAATGCAAAAGATGGTGGCTGACAGGTGATTCCACTCTGGAAATGATCCAAAACCCCACAGAGTAGATCCTACCAGGCATAAATTAGCATGGCTTTTCTGACCGAAGGAAGTGCTGCTAGTTTCCATGAACTGACAGTGATTGCCCCTCTTAAGTATTCCCTTGCATTAAAGAAGTGAGATTGCATTTACCAAAGTAAATGTTCCATCTACAAAAAAACCAAGTTACATTTGCCAAAAAAGTTGAATTTACCAAAGCCTTACCTACTGCTGTGGCAGTGGTGATTGAAGCTTACCACAGGTGCGAGCATTTGGAGGTGGGAAATTAAAAAAGGGCCACATCCATAAATTGCTCATGCAGTGGGGGACAGGGAACAAGTAATTTCCTTTGAGATGAGAGATTATTTATTCATGGAATGCAATTTCAAAAAATGGAGAAACAGAAAAGGCCGTGTTGCATCGCCTGCCACGTGCGCTGATGTAAAAATATCTCTTGGACAAGACGCTGAGAGGCGTCCATTGCAGTCGCAGCAAAGTCCATTCAGTGTCATTGTCACATGGCAGCATGAGTCTATCAAAAATGTTCGTTGGAGTCTGGTGTAGCTTACATAGAGGCTGGCATTGTCTTCCCTCTTTTCTCTCTTTCTCTCTCTCTGAAGGACTTCGGGCTCAGGCTGTGGTATCTACTGCTCCCAAGGAACAAAAGCTCTGTTGTCCCTGCGGCAGAGCATTTTTATCAGCTGTAGTATTAAATCCTCAGAGCGGGGTGGTGATAAGCAATATGACTGTCTGGTGTGTCAAGCTCTGAGCAGCGCCCTTTGTTGTGCTTCAATGAGTCCCCCAACGCCACGCTCATTTGGCACAGGAAAGCCACTGATTGCCTTTGTGGCATTAATTAGAGCTGAAGTCTTGCAGTTGGGCTGCTTGTCGTTTCCACCACTGTTTTGTTCGCTGCAGTGTATCCACATATTTATTTGTATGTAAATTAATTATGGATCAATGTTAACTCAGGGTATGCTTTATTGACCAAGCAATGCCAGGTCTGACTTCTCCAATTTGCCTCTTTTATAAAAGAGTCAATTTGGTGTCTGGGATGTTCTTATTCTGAGTAGAGTCTTCTGGACAGAGGCCAGAAATCCAAGGGTAGTTACTTGGGGTGAAAACTGGGTGGGAAATGCCAGGAGGCTTCTCACAAATGTTTTCACAAAGTTCTCATCACTCCCACAATCCCTCTTCTCCTCCGGGGACATAATAATGTCTCATAATGATTCTCATTAAACTGGAAAAATGTCAGTTGACATTAGCCTGGGAGAGGCGGGTGGGGAGTGTTGGGGAGCTCCCTTATGTTCAGATCATGTTCACCAGGAAACTCTGAGCTAAAATAATGGTGTCTCTGTGGTAAACCCAGGGCCAGTCTGGTTCAGGAGAAAGAAACCACAGAAGTGCAAGTGGATTTCCAGTGGGTAAAAGCCATTTCATCTCGAGGTTTCTTTCTGCTGTTTCAAAGCAAAACACAGGGAGTGGCATTTGGAAATGAAATCTAGGGACAAGGAAAAGGTACTTAAAGGGAAAAGGTACTTAAAGGTATGAAGATATGGTGTGGAAGGCTCTCAGGAGTCTCAGTCCACTTCACCACCCACAACAGCATCAAGTGCAGAGAAAACTTACATACATAATGAATCAATCCAAGTATATTGATAGCAAGTAAAACTGTTAATTCATTCCAGCATGACAACAAGCTCAGTGAGGAAAAATAACTTTAAACCATTCACTGGAGATAACAGGTGAGAAGCTTAAGATGATCTTGGAAATACTAGTGATAGCTGAGCCAATCCAAATTCAACCCATATAACATGTCCTATGAAAGTTATTATACAGGGAAAAATTTAACCTAAGACAATGCTGAGCTGAATAACCCCAGAAAGCACCTCTAGGTTACTCTTTCAGTGTTTCCTTTCCTCACAGAGGATCCTCTTCTGGACAGTGCAGACAGCTGAGACAGCTATGGACCCCCTCAAAGACCCATGTGTGGACATCTTCAGAGATGGGGAGACCTGCTGGAGGGAAGGCTTTGAATCTCTAACTGCCTTACCTGGGCAAAGTGCAATATTGCAGAACTTTGTTTGCTTCTCCGGGCCCTCGCAGGGGTTCCCACCAAATTGAGGAGGTTTGCATGTGCGGGTCCGATCCCTGTACCCTCTCCCACAAGTGGAAGAGCACAAGCTCCACGGAGACCACTCATCCCAGGTACCATGTACTGCAATCAAAGCATAAGAAGTAAATTTCCTTTCCAAAGGAGGTCTGGAGAAGTGAATAAGCCCACAGAGCACAACATCTTCCCACTCAGAATGAACAGCTGGTGAGAAGCAAGTGTGGGAAGGCCAAGAACAAATCGACCCAAAATATGTAAGAGGAATGTCACGTAAAATTTTTTATGATTTGGTACTGATACCAAGTGTCTGTTACTTTTTGGTCTATTTGAAATAAATCACAATGTACTTTTAATTGACCCTAAATTTTCAGATATATGAAAATAGACAAGAAAATAATAATACAATAGATAAAGGTCTTTTTTGAGCAAAAGATAGAGTTAGCTAGAGAGGAAAAAGAAAATCCACCACCCTTTGGGAAACAGCATCACCATCATATTGTCACTTCTTATCCTTATTTCCCTCCCTCAACACTTTCTCACACTGAATCATCAGAGGCTACAGCATTTTCAAGCTCTCAGAAAACCTGCAGTCTGGCTACTGATTGCTATCATATGTCAGTGACATCACGGGGGCAAAGCTAGGGAGATTTGGAGGAACAAAATGGAATGGACAACATGCTCCAACACTGCTCAGGCCATCACTGGTAACTCCTGGAATTAGACATCTAAAGCCTTCTAATCGAAATTAATCTAATATTCTCCAATCTTATCTAATCTGATCTGGCCAGGTTATTTATGGACGGTTAGTCACTGTAGTCTCTAGAGGCCAAATGTTACAAGAATGTACTGATCTCCTTAAGGGAATTCATCCCTTCCAGCTTTACTGGAGAAGCTAATGCAAAATCAATAATGCTTAAGAAAACAAAACCAAATAAAACCATACAAAAAAAAAAACCACAAAAAAACTCCAAACAAACCCCAAAGAGATACTTTTTCCATCTTTCTTCAGCGGCTAACAGTGACTGATCCACTGGTATCAGGAAAGGGGATTCCAACCTAATATTTTGTAATTGTCACCAGGTATCTTGCATGAAAAACAATAACTAGAGGACTAAATGGAGGAAAGAGCACAGGAAAACAGCTCGGTGATTTCACCATTGTAAGATTGATTCTGAACAATGATGTTGCCTATAAGGAGTTGTGAATAACACACCTAGTTTAATAGCATAATCCTTCAAAATAATGCCCAGGCTTCCCAGATTGTGCTTTTTCATCAAAATTATAGAAGAAGGAATATGAAAACAGAGATGATGGTTGGCTCAGTTCATAAATGTGCCAGCAGCCTGAGTTTTTCATGCTGATTTTGCAATGGTATGCTCAGTGTTGGCATCTGAGCAACTGCAAGTGTCATCTGGTGCTTCTCTTTCACAGTCTGCCCTATGCTTGGAAACACCCTAAAGGGCACATGCCTCTCAGATGTACTGTGTTCATTGCCTTTTGGTAACATCAAATTGTCCATACCATGCAAAACAAGCACCCATCTTATGGTGCTTGATCTAGCAAGGGTTTCTGTATGAGGCTTTAGAGTGAAAGAGAAGGAAGAGGAAACAGAAAACACCTCCCTTCAAGAAGATACCACAGTGGAGATACACCAGGCGATCAGTCCTCTGTGCATCTCCCTTCCCCTCCTGCCCATGCATACACAGAGCGCTCAGCCCACCTGGGCAGATGGCAGAGTTGTTGCACTGTCTCTGCTCCCGGAGAGGGCCACTACACTGAGTGCTGTAGGAAGACGACACACAGAACCTCGTCCTGGTCTGCCAGCCCTCCCCGCAGGTGGTTGAGCACACGCTCCACGGGGACCACTCTTCCGCTGCAGGGTCACCTGTTGGGGTTGGAGTAGAAGGTTAGGACGTGACATCCTTGGTACCTGGATCTCCAGGGCAGTGCTTCCCAGGTTGCACTTCACCAGTTGCTGGTGATCTGTGAAGCTGTGCAATGTGTCCCACATGTGGTGTGACAGCAAGGATGCAAGGGGATTTTTGAGAAAGTGTGAGGGTTGACAATGGGCTAGAAGTTTTCTGAGTTTATTGTGTAGAGCAGTAACACATACACACAAAAAAATGGGAAGGACACTGTGGAAGCATCAGGGCAATGGGCAGGGCAAGATCCACCATGGATAATGAGGTGGTGTAGCCACTGCAGAACCATGTGAGTTGGGGTATGTATCATCTGCTCAGAGATAGCACTAAGTAATTAACAGTGATCAGGCGGTGCTAATAAATGTGTCCATAAATTGAGCAGTTGTAAGGATTCAACTTCTTTCACTGCCTTCTCACAGCCCCTACCAATGCAGATTGGTAGTGGAGGAGCAGACAAAATAGAAGATGACAGTGCCTGAGAAGGACATTGGCTGAAGTAATCCCACAGAGCTTTCTCTTGTCATCTCCTTCACCTGTGGAGAAGAATTGCTTTGAGAACAAGATTCACTGTTCCTGGGCATCATACAGTCCCCATCAACTGCTTACCTGATGAGGCAGTATTGGAAAGGCAAATACAATCATCCCACTGAACAAGAGATGGTGGTGGAAAGGAATGAGACATATTTTCATTGTCATTAATATCTTTGCAGACACATAGTCATGCCAGGGGTGTTTCAGCCATGCCACAGCCTCCAGATAAATCACTAGAAGCGTGACACGGGCAGGGAAAGGACAGTTTTCCACAAGTTTCATAGGCATTAGTCTATCCTGGAGAAAATGCTTTTCCCTCCAGATGAAAACAAAAGCCTGCTCTGTTTCATTTAATTAATCTCTACATTGTTTAGGCTGTTAGATTTTAATGGATGACTAATAATTACACATGATAAACCTCAAACGCAGCATTTGGCATGTATAGCACACGGGCATATGGCACAAATAAACACCAACACATCTTTGAGGATGCATAATAGAGAGGCATACCCTTCTAGTAACAAGTTCTACAAAGCATCAGACTGCACCATGTCACGTCATAACCAGATGCATCTGGCAGGCTACGGATGGTATAAGTAAAATGATGGCGCTGGGTGCAGCAGCTAAGCATGACTTCAAGGGTTGTACAACACGGCACAGCCTGAACTGCACCCAGAACTTGGATGTATTTTCCAACACAACCATCCCATTCCCAAATAAAACGGGGCAGTAGATGCTGTATTGGATTGACTGACTACAGATTGGTATCTCAGCCTGCTTGCAGAGCAGTGTGGGTTATAAACCACCTGTGTGAAAGTCAGTGTCAGTACAGGAACTGTGATGGGGAATGTAAAGGTTGGAGACCACCAAACTGCTCAATAGTACCTCAGCTGACCTACTGCTATGCAAGTCTGACTTCTTCCTCAAGGTGATATATTTATTTACTGATGTCTTAAGGGGAGTTTTCTGCTTGCAGTGAAATTTTTTGCAGGATTTCAAGTGTTCATGGCTCTCATCAGTCTGCTCATTGGGATTGTTGGTAGTTGTCTGTGTTATTCATTATGTGTCATGCTTTTCAGCACATCTACTTTGAATGTTTCCAGTCATTCAGAGGCATTTGGTAGTTACAAGTATGCCCACTAATTGGAGGGTGGTGAATCAATATGTGCAGGCCTGTTGAAGGGGCAAAGTGTAGAGGAAGACCTGCCCTTGATGCAAAGTGGACAAGCTTGCATTCCTTTTCTTTACTGGCTGGAGTCAAAAAGAGGTGTAGGTAAGAATGAGTCTTTCTCCACGTCATCTGTGCCACTGAAACAGTTATCATGAGCCGAAACTGCTTTTGTTCATTAAGCCAAAGTTGCTCAATACTGTTTCCCCTTGCTTTTGTGCTTTGTTTCATTAAGCTTCCCAGCTGATTGCAGTTAGATAGATGTTATGGACCATTGGTCTTTCTCTGGGATTTGTAGGAGATAGCGTGCATTTTGAGGCCTTGAGGCTTCAAGAAAACATCACTCCCATATGCAGTTTCTCATGCATTATATCTGCTGGTATACTAGCACTTCCATGGTAATTTTGCTGACTTTCCATAAGGAACTCAACTGGTTTTGCCAGAACGACAGTCCTGTGGTACTCTGAGTTCACTGCCAAAAAGTTGCCTTTTAGGTACGATCATTTCAGCATTTGTCATCGAGAGTGGCCCAGACTCCAGGAGACCCTCTTAGGCCCACAGATCCCAACCATTCCTCCTACCTAGCCTGCTTGAATGCTGCACCAACAGATGATACCTTTGATTGCTCAGAGAATCCCCTCCATTGACCTTGAACAACCTCCCCAGTACTGCACCCAGCAGCATCAAGACCCTCAGTGGCAGGGAGCTGGAATTTTTTGGTAGTTAAGTTTTGCCAGTTTGTGCCCAAAAGTCTTTCTGAGAGGCCAAAGGTGGGACAGGGGAAACCTGCAGAGACACAATGGCCTCCTCCATCATCATGGCTTCAAGAGCCTACCATGCCACCACCTCCCCACTCAGACCTGACTGTGGTTTTGCAATCTCCATATTCAGACAAGAGTTACTGTGTCACTAGATGAGTGAATGGCATCTTTGAACCAAATTTAACCTCTTCTGCCTCTTTTTCCATCTTTATTATTTTTGGTCTTTGCCTTTTCAGAGTAGAAATACCTATGATTAGAGGTAAGTCTCCCCAGTCATCATCTCTCACATTGCACCGATCCCTGGCTTTTAAATTCATAACATAGTTTATTTTGGTTGGTTTATTTGCTGGTTACTCCTTTGGGTTTGGTGTAATTTTGAACTAAGTAATTAATCTCAGGCTACCAGGGCACTATGTCCAGTCTAGTCTCAAACCTTGCAGAAATTCAACTGATTTTCAAACCATGCCAGACCCAGTTCTGAGATGTTCTCAGGCATCAGGATAAGCTCTCGTTCTCCATCCAAGAGAAGCAGAATATTGCCCATGGCCAAAACTACAGGTGAGAAGAATTTCTGCACCTCTGTGGGTCAGACTGCAGCAAATACAAATTACTAGATGCAATATCTTCCAATTATTTATTTGAGAAGTGGATTCTGGCTCTGCTTTTAGCTACAAGAGCAAGAAGTCTACCATGCTCATTGAGTTTGAAAGCCCCCTAGTACAGCTAAATACTGTCATATAATTAGACCAGTCAGAGATGCGCTGCACCAAATTGGTCTTCACCCTGCCAGAGTACAAGGGGTTATGCAACACCCTCCATCATGACTGGTGCCTGTAGGTAGATGTGTCTGCATGATTGACCTTTGATTAGTCCTGTGATGTTCCAGGATACCTTGATGATTAACAGGAGTGTCCCAAAGGAGTGTTCCCACTGCAGGTGGGAATATGGCCCTTTGCAGGACTTACTACTCCCACCGGGCCAGCTGCAGCATCTCTGCTGCATCTCTGCTGCATCTCTGCTGCAGCTGGAGAGGGCCCAGCAGGTGCTGAAGAAGGAGATACACTGGGCATCACTCCGTGGAGATGTAGCAATGCAATCCAGGATTCTTTCCAGCTCCTGGCCAGCCCTCAGAGTAACTGAGCTCGCTTTACAGAGAGCTCAGCTGGCTGAAGGGTTCCCATCAGTGCCTGCAGCTTCACCATGATGCTTCCTCCCTTGGCGCTAATGAAGCGGCACATTGCTGTCAACCCTCTGCCAGGCTCCCTTTTTTTTTTGGTGTTGTCTGTCAATCTGACATCTCACTACGTGTGAGACACTTATTTGCTCACATCCTGCTGCTGGCACTCCTGAAAGCAGTCTGTGGGCTGAGCTGGGAGGGCCCATGCCAGGGACCTACTGGGCTGGATCTTGCTCCTATGCTATTGCTGGAAAAGACTCGCAGGCAGCCAGTGGCAACACAGCTGAGAGCACAACTCTGCCAGAGCCTATGTGCCAACAAGACCTGGACATCAGAGCTGGCGAGGGTGGGTAGGAGAAAATACTGGCCTTCAACAGGGCTCGACCATCTCCTTATCTCTAGTGTTTATAGCTGGCATCAGTTATTTTCCTTTGTATTTCATATTTTTCTAGGTCTTGAGTGGATGTGAAATGGCTTATCCCATACAAACTGTGTTGAGTGCTAAGGAAGACTTGTGCTTTGCCTTGGTATCACCAGCTAAAGACTCCTTCTAAAGCCCTTCCTGGGCTGTACCCTCTTCCCAGTCTTTACATCTCCCCCATTCTGACTTCTTTGAACAACTTGGCTTCAGTTGCTGCTCCTTGGACAGTGGCAGAGATGTGGCAAGCTTGGAGCAGGACAACACGCATCTCCCGGCCCATGCTACGCTCAGGGATACTGCAGCCCAAGTCAGCCATGCTACAACAGGGGCTGTGATGGCAGGGAGTTAATGGAGAAGTCACTGAACCCAGATGCAGTATGCAGCTGCACATCAGGATGAAATACCAAGCTTATAAACCTGATGGCTCAGCTGCAGGCTGGAATAAAGTGCCAGGAAAGCACCTGGGAGCAGGCAGAGTAGGAAAAAGAGGGGGCATCACAGGATGTGCCTTGGAGTGCTTTCTCTTCCTCTGCATTTGGGGACGTGTCACTGAGAGACTGAGCTCAGTTTCACCAGGTTACAGCATTGCAAATGTCCTCCCTCTCTTGCAGCCTTTTGCTAGCTGCCACTGACTCTGCATCTCCCACTGGAGGAAGCAAACTCAGTACAGGGTGGCAAGGGAATTCAGACCGTCCCCTGCCTTGTGTTGAAAGCCACAGGCCCAGCCATTGCCCATCACTCCTAGAACCTCCATGCCATGGTGCTGCTTCCTGACACTGTTCACTGCTGCACACTGGCAAAGTTCTGCTGGGTTGGATGTAGCACAGCTAATTCACCCCAGAACATATCCCACTCTGCCTCTGCTTCACAGCTCTGGCTCTTCAAATCACCTGTCTGAAGCCTTTTTAGAGCACAAACTGTTTTCAAGGTCACTGAGCAATGATTTCAACCTGCAGTCAAGGTCAGCATGCCTTGCTTTGCCCAAGAGCCTGTGGTGTGTTGAGCTTCTGACAGAAAAAGCAGGTGTGAAGGGAGAGCAGAAAACCACTCCAGATTGGACCTGGCATAGATCTAGGGCCAATTCATTCCCATCTTCCCAGATCACACTCTCTGATATTACTATGTATTATTACCCTTCTATTGCAGGATAATGGAAGGTCCTGCTGCAGAACCTATCAGATACAAGTCCTCACACAGCACTGAAGACCCAGTGACAGAGGAAAGCACTCCTGCTTCCTCCCCATCACACCCTGCACACCTCTTCTTACAGTCAATAGGAAGGCATGCCATGGACATCAGCAAAGAGGCTGTATCACAGTAAGGTCAGCTTTGGCTTAATGAACCATGACTGTTTAGATAGTTCAGACAAAGCAGTGACTTAGAGGTAGGCAGGGTGATGAGAAGCGGTCTGTGAGAAGCATGGTCTGGTTAGGGCTTTCCATCTAACCCTTTTTACCTTCTCTGACTAATGGCAACAACACAAAACCTTGTAGGGCAAGGGGGCAGGAACAGAGTGATGACCATTTGGTCAGTGTGTGACTGTTGGATAAGCCCACACTAACCTGGAGAGAAAAGCGTTGGTTATCTGGGTCATTGAAACAGCAAAGCGAGTCAATGTAGTCAGCCCAGCCCAGCTGGGAATTGCAGTGACCAGACAGTGTGCCAGCTCCAGAGGCTGTTGTGGTAGGTCAGAGCTTACCTATTTGAGGTGCAGGGTACCCGTAGTGCTGCAGTTCGTCAGTGTCCTCTCGCTTTCTGTTATCTGTGGACCTCAGCGATTGGCTTCTGGAATTATAGCGTCCATTGGCTATGGCAAGGTAATGGGTCATGTAAATACACCTTGGTTCACTCTGCAAGATCTTTCACTACAAAGGTTACATGTATAAACAACAGCGACCTGCAACATTCAGTTGACACGACCGCCTACTTTCCAACCCCAGCACCCCTGGCCACCAGCAGTCCCCATGGCTTTAGCACTGAGCCAGCCTGAAAGACGCGGTCTGACCAGCAGTTTAACCTCGTTTGTCAGCGAGACTTGGGACCATGTGAAATATGATCCCTTATGTCTGGACTGTAATCAATCTCAATGGTTTTCTAGGGTGTCTGTACTTGTTGTAGTTGTGGAGTATTTAGCCTTTTCAAATGCACTGAAAATGAATCCCACCATCCCTAGAAGTGTTTTGAGATCTATGGTGATGACTGGCAGTATTTTTTTGGTGGAAAACTCTGCCTTGCAAACAACACCTACTTAGCAATGCCCTGTAGAGTAACCAGAAAATGCTGACTGGAGCAGGCAGGTGAGGGCAGGTGAAAAGGAAAAGGATAGCTCAAAAGGATATCTCCTTCACAGACTCTGCTCTACCACCAGCAACAAGGAGAGATGAAGGTCTGGTATCAATGAAGTGACTTATGTGACAACAAAGCTATGGCTGGGCACCTTTCTGACTCAGATGAAAGAGCAAAGCTCCTGATCCCTGTGTTCTAACTGAAAATCTTCCACTGAAGACCATGTTGTTGAGATCAGGAGGTAAATAATGCATCCATTGTAAAGAAAAGTAATTTAACTGCTGCCCGACAGCTAGCACTCCTGTTCCTTCCAAACCCACACTTCTGTCAGCTTTGCAATTGCATCCCATGTGGATCAGCCCTGAATTTGCTAAAAGGGAAACTAAAATTTCAGTTCTCCATGGTATTTGGCATGTTGCAACCCTGACACATGCCTTCCCTAGTAAACAGAGAAACAACCAAGCAATAGCAACCAAATCACTCCCACCAGTAAATCAGGAGATATCAGCTGACTCCACTGGAGTCATGAGGACTATTAAAGAGCAGAGCTGTGCCTGAGTAATTTGTGATCTGGCAACCAATTTGTTTCCAGACAGCAAGTACCAAAGGATCTTTTTCCCCAAGGAGGTAAAACAGTCAGATATCTTTTCAAGAAGTACAAATTGCCAAGAGATGAAATGGTGACAAATTTGATCCCAGCACCCCGAGAAAATTAATAGAGGTTAATGAAGCTTCAGTGGGGTGGCAGGAGTCTTTATTGCCATCCAAAAAGGGAAAGAAAATGAGGGAGAAGAATGATTCAGAGAGTCCCTGCCAGGAGCCAGATTTTATATTAAGCAACTTCATTCATGAAGAGTCCCATCTAGGTTTTGTAATTATATCATATCCCATTACTGTTGCCCAAGAACAGGACTTAAGGAACTTGAACTGGTCATACCAACTCCTCCAAACCCTCTTAGTACCAGCTGCTATCATCAAGGAAAGACACCAATAGCTTAACTAACTTCAGCACTACAAACATCCTGATACATGCATACATCTTGTTTCTGTCTGGCTCTTTACTGGAATAGAAGGGGCCCAAATCTTATGTTTTTATTAGCTAAGAAGTCATGTGACTCTCCTGTGTGATTCAGTTTTTTAAAAATGCCCATCACTAACTAGCTTTCCAATATCCAGTGTCTTGAGTTTGCTTAGAAGACAAGTTGAATTAGCCCCATATTTGGGACACATCACAAACCCTGCTCCAATCCCAGCACCCGTGGCTGGTTATATCCGTGGACTTTCATCTGCTCTGATTTAAGTCCTCTTCATGAAAGCATACAAACCACAGAAATACGCAAAATCTCCATCTGCAGTAAGTATCATACAGTTCCCAGAGACTTGTTTAGGCTGGCAGGAGAAAAAGGGGTTGGGCAACAAGGGGTACATGTGGAGCTTGGATGGCTTTGTCAGCTGCCCAGAGCAAGAAAGGTGACAAGGAAAACCTGGGACTGAATATCCCAGAAGCAGCCAGTGAGCATGCATGGATGGATGGACAGAGAGATAGGAGGCAGGACAGAAGGAAGGACAGATAAAAGAGAAAAATAAAAGCTTTAAATGCAACCCTGGCACCTTAGACCTCCTCTCACCAGTTTGGGCACCTGACATCTCCTAATGACTGACCCTAGTCTCAAAGGAGCTGCATGATTCGTTTGCTTCCTGAAAGATATGACAAGCCTGGGCTGTTATTGCTCATCCTAATTAAGGGCAATCAGGTCTAATGGCTTAATGCGTGACCCTTCCAGCTTCCCCCAAGTTTTCCCCAGCCTCCAGACTTAGGTTGGAGTTACTCTACCACAGCAGGCAGGCTATATCCCCTTTGGAAAGGGTATGGCAAAGATGCAGATCCGTGCCCATTTAACACAGAGCATGGCTTAGATTTAACCTGGACCGTTCTCTTGAATACATGCAAAAATCAACCATGGTTCTGAACAAAGCAAGGAGAAGCCAGGTCCCTTATGCACAAGGCAAAGTTGGTGCAAATGAAGATTTTCTGTGAGTCTTATGCACCTCAACTTTATGGGGTGGAGGGGACAAAGTAAAAGCAGTGGGGAACTGGTTGGATTTCAGGAGCCTGCTTCCCACAACAGGGTTAGTGGAGAGGAATAATGTCAGGATCAAAGGAAGGCTAAGACTTGATTTAGATCCCAGCTGTAAAAATGCCATGAGTACGGCACATTGCTGAAATACCCAGCACCTTGAAGGAGCCAGCACAAAGGCTAGAGGAATAATGCCCTTGGAGGGAACATGGAGATGTTTCAATTGCAAATAAAGGCAAGCAGGTGAGATTTTGAAAGAACATAGTTCAAATGTGGATGGGGAGGATGATCTTGCAATATTGGTATTGGTGAGAAGAGGAAGCAGGTGACCAACACTTCTAATGAGAACTTATAATGTGCCAGACACCACCTTGAAACACAACCAAGGGAAAAAAATGAATGCAGAGACTTCGCAGTGTTGTGGGCCAAGGTTTTAACATCCAAATATGTCTGACCAGAGCTGCACACTCTTCCCTCTATACTTGTCCCCCAAACAGAAGAGGCAAATAAAACAGCAGGTTCATGAAAATCATCCAGGCAAGCTGGGGTGGTGGGAATGAGAGAACAGACCAAAGCAACGAGTGGAAAGGGATGATTAAAAAAACACATTGAAATTGAGTAAATGTATCTCACTGCAGCAACACTGAAGGTGACAATGTTGGCTGTGGAGTTTTTGGGGCATCCAGCAGCTGCTAAAGAAGTAAAACTGAGAAGCGCAGAATCACTAACAACCCCTAAAACCCAAGATCTTAGCAAATGTAGGTGAGGGTCATTTTGGAGGCCACTGGATACATGGCAGTTGCACCAGCTAAGGAAATGGTCCAAAGCATTTGGGTTTGAACATCTGAGACCTGTGGAAATGTCACTGGGTGAGATATGCGACTCTCAGATATGAAATGCCTGAACAACCATTAAAAGGGAGACAGGGTGAAATGTCAGCAGGTACCTGTAGGACAAGGTGCTCTTCCAGCTTGCAATGGATTCTAGCCTCATCTGTGAAGAATGAAGATGCTCTTATACATACATAGGATATTTCAGCTTGGTGGTTGCAGAAAAGAAAGGCTATTTTTAATGAAAATCTGGGGCAGTAGAGAATGAGACTGAAGCTCAGTCTTTTGTATGTCATGTATAAACGCATTTCTTCACACCACTAAGAGTTACGCAACTGAAGGGCTAGATAAAGAACATGCTTGATGCTGGGAATCCGGCATGGATAGATGAGACTGCACTGCTGTCACATTTCTGCACCTGATGGCAGGATGTGACCACCCCTTTCTCAGCCTAGGGAAGATGTTATCTACCCAATCTGCATATTCATAAATGTCAGAGATGGTTTTGCGTTGCCTCTGCCAGATGGGATGGCAGGATTTCAGCTGGCTACTCTGCCGTTTTTCATTCCCCAGGAATAAATGCAGACTGCCTACGTCTATGATTGTTCTTGCATATCTTTGGCTCTGGTGAATTCCAGCACCAGGGTCAGGACCATGACATGCCCCTCTGGCTTGAATGTTATCCTGCCATGTTGCTCATCCAGCCTCCCTGCAAGGACCATCTGCATGCCAGGTTGTGAGCAACCAAAGCTTTTTGCACCCTGCAGTGAAGCGCGGCCACCGGAGCAGAGCGGGTGTCCCCTTCCATCCAAAGGGGGTGGACCTGGAAAGCTCCTCTGCAAACACTTGCCACTGCACTTGGGTTGGCTTTTTTTCCTCTCTCTATAAAACAGCAGCTCCTGGCCAAATCCAACAGATGGAGGAAATTTCCCCTGTCTGTGCTGAGAGAAGGATATCACCGGGTCCTTTGCCTCTAGCAACGAAAAATAAGAGTTACAACAAACACTGAATGTTGTCCTTCAGATTATGTCTCTTGAGCTGAAAAGCTGCCATGAAAAAAAGGCTCTGCCTAAGCCAAGCTGCTGTTTCCAGACAAAATTTCCTGTCCAATTTGGGATGAGCTTTCATTACAGATTTTCTTCAGTGTTTTACAGCTTTGGGTTTTGCCCATGGAGATATCTTACCTGGCTCACTTGCTATTGGGCTTGAGTATATATCCCTGGGGAAATTTAGCAAGATGAAGATCATTAATCAATAGACTCTATTAAAAGAAACAGCAGAGATGGTGGCCCAAGAAAGTGGAAAAACATAAAGCACACATACAAGAGGCACCTGTGGAGTCATTCAGCTGTCCCTGTGCAGTGATTTCAAACAACACGATGGCCTCCAGACAATGTGTTTAGACTCAGCTCTGGGAACCATGCAGCTATACCTATATTTCAGTGACCAAGCTGCCAGAAGTCATAACTCTTGGAAAGATTGAGAACCACCATTGCCACTGCTGCATACTGAAACCTGCTGAAGGTAAACCCAGAGCAGATCTGGGAAAAGAAGTATGGCAGGACCCAGAGAAGGCACGCATGGAGAAGGAGCTGTGTGACAAGAAATCCCTCTAGCACATTTGCCATGGCCAAGCCAAATAAAGCCAATGAAACCCTCACAGATCCTCCATGATAGTTCATGTCAGTAGCTTCAGGCAGCTGAGTGGCAGCACTCAAAGTTGTTCCCACTGGGAACCTGCCTCAGATGTCGTATCAGTCCAAGACCTCTCCCTGCTGCTGGATTTCCAAATAAACAGCTGAAACACTCTTGCTAATCACTCATCAGCTTATGAACCACTTTAGCAAAAGTAAGGAAGAAGCTAAAGAAAAGAGATCGTTTTACCATTTCGAAGGTGGTGGTGATTTTACTTTCAGTGATGGTATTAGTTTCCTTGGACAAGTTTCAGTTTACGCCCACGGCAAAGAGAAAAATATCAGAATGTTCTTCCCTGTTTTGTTTTGCTGTTTTATCAGGATTATAGGTGGCCCTGTGGTCAAGGAAAAGAGTGCTTTTTTCCTGTTCATTTTCCACTGAAAAATTAAGGTGTCAGCTACTCCACAATACTGTAAGAGCTAGTCAGTTATTATTACAAGCTAGTGAAATGCTGCCCAGTTAAGGATAAAAATGTTCTTCTGTCCTGTTCTCCTTTTCCTCTTTTTCTTTTTTTTTTCCTTTAAATTTAGAAAAATGAATTAAAATCTATTTAACTGTAACATATAATGAACACTTGGGAAAATAACAGTTCAAGTGGAAGAATGAACATCCTACTCATCCCTAACAAATCTATGAGCAAAAGTCAATGAAAATAACAGTGACATATTTAAAATAGGATTTATATTCTACTTCTAAATCCTCTCAGGTTTTAGTATAGATCATAGCGAAGAGAAGGAAAGGATATGTGCAAAAAAATTAAAAGCCCTTCCTGGGTAAATGCACCTCTCTTGAGCATAACTGTAAAGGTAACAAAGATTCATTGAGAAGTGAGATCAGACCCAAATGCACAGCTTTGGTAGATATGAAGAGATACAGGTTTATCCTGAGGTAGGACATAGACCTCGAGATGTGCATGGGCAAGTATTTGTGAAAGATTAATTGTTCCCTCAAATGCTTTCCAGCATGAAAGCATCACAACGTGGCTCAGCAGTTTGCAAAGAGGCCCTTGGGAAAATTAATCAGAATTAACTTATTTATTTCAAAGGGATAAATCAATTTGTGCTGCTCTACTCTGTGGGTGTACTCTTTTTCCAAACTAGAGCCTTCCACTTAGTTCCCGAATAAGCTCAGCTGAACCAACCGTGCTGCAATTTGGAGCAGGGGTTGACTTGGTATATAATGGGAAGAGGTCAGGGAGTCAAATGAAATCATTTATTGAATCATAGCCCCCTGGAGCACAATCAGGTTTTTCTGGACTTAGAATGAGGTTTGTTGAATGTTGTGTTCTGGAAAAGACGAGTGAGTAAATAGTGAGTAAAGAGCGTCTCAACCTTCACTGCTGTGCTCTGTGAAATGAGCGGAGCTGGAAACCCAGCCCAGACTTCAAGGTTCCACAGTTGCCCACCATCCCACTTCATCCCTCCTTACCACACCAATCTCAGAAGACTGAACATGAAGATGACCAAAGTTTGACCCCTGTGGGAGAGTAAGGGAAGATGTTCTGCCCCTTGCTCTGTGGTAGTGAGGCTGGACCTGGAAAACAGTGTCCAGTTCACTCCCTCCTCTATTCTCCAGTTCAAGAGGGATGTGAAGGAATCAAACAAGTCCCATAGAGGCATTTGAAGATGGCTAGCGATGGGGATAGATATCCTGCATAAAGAGCCTGGGAAGCTGGGTCCCTACTTTATTTGTCCAGCACAGGAGGGACACTTTAAGGAGTTTTTTGCCTGTTGTCCTATGTGCCCCCATGTTCAAAGAATGGCCACATTTGCAGGTCCCCCTCTACCCATCCACAATGCCATCTCTGTTTTCTTCTTCTTGACAGCACCGTCAGTTGAGACCCTTCCTTCAGCTCCATTCAGGTGCACTCAAGTCCCACTGCTGGACCCCCACTCAGATCCAGCTTCCAGGTCCCTGCCCACAGATAGATGCACTCTTACCCTCACTGCCTCAAGCCACAGCTGTGTTATGAGTCCAAAGTCACCAGTAAGCATTGGAGACATAGATTAAATTCCCCTAGTGTGGGCGAACCTCAGAGGAAAATTAGCAACAGTGAGTCAACGAGATGAAATTCAAGATATTAGAAGGTTTCATTTAAAAAAAAAGGGGCGGGAGGAAAGCCTAATTGTAACAAGATTTAAATTTATGGAAGTGGTAAAAAATGCATGAAATCATTTTAGCTCTTATTAGAGGAATATATTTATGTTCCTCTATTTGAACTTCTCCTTTATCAGGAAATACTTTCCTGCCTTTGAAGACAGTTGAACTTTCCCTAGTTATTTGACTAGTTGGAGGAGTTATTCAAACATTCTCTACTATGAATTTCAAATAAAAAGAAGGGAATAATTATAATCAGTTATTCACTTGTATTTATTTGGCTAAGCTGCCTCTGCTCTTGTTTTTTTCCTCTTCATCTCCCTTTCAACTCAGCTAACGCAAAAGAAGAACTGTAGAGGTAAGTGCCAGAGGTTTACCACCTCAACCCATCAATATCTGACTTCTGACTGGTGCTGACAATCTGTCCTCTGCTCTTTGAAGAAAAGGATCTGGAAAGAGGCTGCTTTACAGGAGAAGAGCAGAGCATCTGCTGAAGAATTTGCCTTGCTAAAGCCCTGAATTTTGTTTGTCTAATGGCCAGATCTTTCACTGCATCTTAGACTGTAGGCTTCATTTTGTAAAAGAAAGAGACAGTAACACTGTTCTTGACTGAGAAGGTGAACTAAGCCTAAAAGAAGCAAGATTAGCATCTCTCTTAGCTGCACAATTTATTTTTTTATTTGGGAGAGAGGCTCCAACTGCCAAAGGAATGCCTTTAATGGTGCGTATTTTGCCATTCGGAAGCAGAATTATCACCAGCATATGAATACCTGATGTAAGCCTGCTTATGGATTCCTATGGATTAACTCCTATTCTTTGGGGTAAAGGTCTGGATCTGCAGGTCTATGTGCTGGAAGACATGTGTCAACATGTGCGCGCGTGCATGCGTGACCACAAGATAGGCAGGGAAAGGCAGGGCCATGCACAGCCGAAGTTGCATGCTCCCCTGAGGTTGCCGCTCTGACACAGCCTGTCAACAGTTTCGCCGTGCCTCTAGAGCATCATTCATTATTTATGGCAATGAGGCCAAGCTCCTCCTGGGAAGGGTGACCCACTCGCGCGCGTGCAAGGGAACATGCCTCCACTTACTATTGCATGCCTTCCTATTGCACAGCCGTCCTTCCTCCAGGACTCCCTCGCAGACAAGACCTTCGTTGGGAAGGGGCTTGCAGGTGCGCATGCGGGTCTGCAGGCCTCCCCCGCAGTCCTTGGTACAGTCGCCCCAAGCCGACCATGGGTTCCAACCACCTGGGCAAAATCCAGAAAATCCCCGTCAGCTTCAGTGAGAGCCCAGCACCCAAGAAGGTGAGGAAACACTGGCCTGGCAAACTGTACAATGTACCCACTGCCAAACCCCAAAACTGGGATGTTTTTGAATGTCGTAGGACCAGACATCACAGGGTAGCCTAGAAAGTCAAGAGATAGGAGGAGAAGAGAGAAGAATTGTCTTTTCATTGAATTGTCTTCAGCTGTTCCCCATTTCTAAACAGGGACTTTGCTTTCCTGGAAAACCTGCCCCATTTCTAACTAGTCCAGCTCTTCCTGTGCTTGTTGCAGTAAAGAGGTCCCCTCCTCTGAGAAGACTCTGTTCCCTTTTTGTGGCCCGTTGGCTCCTAACCCCAGAAGGCACTTGCAAAAAAGCCACTTCAAGATACACAACTGGCATTGGTGAGGTTGTTTCTCCTCCCTCTTCCCTTACACAGACATACATGTGCAGTCAGTACAAGGGAGCTGGGAAGGGGTAGGTATCCTACCACCCACTTGTCCCAAAATGGACACTACTTTTCCCCACACTTCAGATACCACCAGCCACAGAGAGGCATCACTGTCAAGGATAGCTTTGGTAGGGTTGTTGTAGGTGGTTTTATGTCTTCTCTTCCCAGTCAGTTTCAATGCTGGTGTCAGCAACACACAGCTTTCCCTCTTCTACCACCAGCTACAGCCCTGCAGGCTGAAGGAGCCAGCAAGCCCCTTGCTGCAGGGATAACCCTGCCACTTGCAGAAGGGAAATATTGAGCCTCTTGCAGCCTTCTCCACCCTGCATCTTTCCAGCTTGCTGCCAAGAACAACTGGCCCTGGTGGGATGTCTGTAAATGTTGATGGCAGGATGGGAAGTGAAGACCATCTCAATCTGGCTTGCCACACACTATCCAAAGCCTTGCAGCAGGGCACTTGCAGGGACCCCAGAAAGGCTGGTTTTGTGTTATAAAAGGACAGCAAGGGATCATTCAGGCCCTTCAAGTGATGGATAAGCTCTCACATCTCTCTGTGTTTAGTTCAGGCCTCATCGTCCATATGCAGCAAGCCAAAATCTGCTTTACGATAGGTCTCTGCTTCTAACGACTAGTGACCACTTTGGCCACATCGTTTGCCCAACTTATGGAAAAGGCAGAGATGACCCTTCATTCCAGAAATTATGAATTTCAGATGGATGCTTTTCCTGCTGTGCATTCTCTCATTACCCAAAGCTACCCTTGGAGATGCTTCAGGTCCAAGAAATTCAGCCATGATCCATGGTCAGGCATAGATAAATATAATGAGCTAAAGATAGAGTTCTTTTAAAGACCGGAAACACTGGGAGAAAACCAAATGCTGCTTTGTAAAATAAAATTAAAATAAAACCCCTCTTCTTTTTCTCACCAAGGGTCAGAGATTTCAGAGATGCAAATGATCCATTTCAGCTGACCCATCTTCCCTGTATTGCTATTTATCAGGCAAAGGAGATCATAACTGCCGTCTAAGCTGTGGGCTCCACTGCTTCCTACACACCCTAAGCAGGACACTAACCCTGTCTGGAAAAAGAAAGGTCCTCAACAGACCAGTTAGATTTCAAGTCAGAATACAGAGGCATTACCAGCACCCCCCTTGCACAGGAATGGGCAGATACTCATCCACTTCCACACCATGAAGCTATGAGTTCACACTTTGCTACCACCAGCCTAGCTGTGCTTTAACTTTTGCTCCCAAGACAGAGTGAAAACAAACACATGCTCAGCAACATTCACACTGCTGAATGCAGTGGAAGCTGCTTACATATTAAAAATGAGAATAACACAGGAAAATAGAGCAGGATGGAAATGCATGCTAGTGAACCTGCCAGCAAGGTGCTCAGAGATCCTGGCAGCAGTGTGGAAGATGGAGTTGTTATTGGCATGCAATAAATATTTGACCTTGAAGA